CACTCACCACACTCACCACTCACCACACCATCCACCACACTCACTCACCACACAACTACCACACTCACAACTCACTCACCACACTACCACACACTCACCAAACACTCACCACCTCACCCACTCACCACACTTACCAACACTCACTCACCACACTCACTCACCACACTCACCACACTCACTCACCACACTCACTCACCACACCTGACCACACTCACTCGACACACTCACCACACTCACTCACCACACCTGACCACACTCACTCGTCACACTCACTCACCACGCCTCACCACACTCACTCACCACACTCACTCACCACACTCACTCACTCACCACACTCACCACACTCACCACACTCACTCACCACACCTGACCACACTCACTCGTCATACTCACTCACCACACTCACTCACCACACCTGACCACACTCACTCACCACGCCTCACCACACTCACTCACCACGCCTCACCACACTCACTCACCACACTCACTCGTCTCACTCACTCACCACACTCACTCACCACATTCACTCGTCTCACTCACCACACTCACTCACTCGTCACACTCACCACACTCACTCACCACACTCACTCGTCTCACTCACCACACTCACTCACCACACTCACTCACCACACTCACTCGTCTCACTCACCACACTCACTCACCACACTCACCACACTCACCACACTCACTCACCACACTAACTCACCACACTCACTCATCTCACTCACCACACTCACTCACCACACTCACTCACTCGTCACACTCACCACGCCTCCCCACACTCACTCATCTCACTCACCACACTCACTCACCACACTCACTCGTCTCACTCACTCGTCTCACTCACCACACTCACTCACCACACTCACTCACCACACTCACCACACTCACTCACCACACTCACTCACCACACTCACTCACCACACTCCCTCACTCGTCTCACTCACCACACTCACTCACCACACTCACTCACCACGCCTCACCAAGCCTTCCCACACTCACTCATCTCACTCACCACACTCACTACACCTCACCACACTCACTCGCCACACTCACTCACTACACCTCACCACGAACAACCATCGCATCCACGAGCCTCCCTCCTCCCACTCACTCACCACCCCACTCGTTACACACAAAGCACTTGCCACAAATGAACCACGAGACCTCGCTGATCTCGTCAAGGAGAATAAACCATCGCCACGCAAACTCCGCTCATCCTCGTAGCAGCAGCGGCTTTTGGCTCAGCCATCGAACAAAGACGGTGGGTCACCGCATCGCGTGGCGCTTTCAGGGGCGCTTCTGCGGCCGCTTGGAATGTTTATTCGTCTGATATCCGGAAGCCACTGGAGCTACGCACTTTTAAATAATCCTCCAAATTGTAAACTCTTTTAGAACTGCTTTTTGTGTTTAGTTTGTTGGTCCTTCCCCCACACCTCCTATTGACACGAGAGGCTACGTACGGTATGAAATAGGTTCAACACACATACATCAACGTAGAGCTCCCCACGTCGCTCACCTACTCATATCCACATGGGTGCACGTGTGTGTGATCGTGTCCATGTGCATGTGGGGAGTGGTCGTGTGGTGGTTAGTGCACAGTGCTACGAACCTGGTGATCCGAATTCGATTCCTGCTCAAGGCCAACACCAGTGACATTTATCTGAATCGGTTCTGAGCCTCCCCTAGGTCGACTCGGCTTCAATGAGTACCTGGTGCCATGTGTAAACATCGCCACTGGGGAGACAAAGACGGCCGGGCGTGGTACTGGCCACCCACCCCCTGGTGTGCTGTGCCAGCCTCCATAGGTGCTACTTGCTAACAGCACTTGCCCTAACAGTCTGTTAAGGCTATACGGGGGTGTGTCTGCGTGTCTGCGTGTCTGCGTGTGAGAGATTGTGAAATGTTGCCATATTTAGAGGAAGCAACAGGAAAATCGTCATGGGCAGTGTTGTTGCACGATTAAACCGCTAATTTCTCTGATCACAGCACAACACATCTGGCGGGTATACATAGGCAATGAGTGATGACCGAGTTATTACGTGTGGTATACTGATTTTACCACCATGGACTTGCTCGGAGATGTCATCTCTCTGGTATGCAGGAGGTCGTGGGTTGGATCCTGACCCCGACGCCTGCTGCTGCTGTAAATTTGGAGTTGCGTGTCACCCCGTAGGTCGCGCGGATTTCTCTCTGGGTTCTCCCGTTTTCCCTCCACATTTAGAGTCAACGACACACGTTTAGAGTCTATGGCTGCTATGCATTTCCACACGATGATAAGCCACTTCGTTGAGCATTTGTGATAACCAGGCCACTTCTGCCAAAGAACTACATAACACAGTGAGCCTGACCTGGTAAAATAAAATAGTACAAAAAAATTGTTGAAAAAATTGTTCAACCAAATATCGTGATGCACAAGGCGTGTTACAGTTGTACGCACCATGAAAACGACTACTCATTTGAGGCTGAGTCGACCGAGGGGAGGGGCCCCATGACCGGTTCAGAACAGAGGTCGCAACCGGGTACCCGATACCCATACTCTACCTGATACCCGGCTACCCGTACCCGGCCGGGTACGGGTACGGGTAGCCATTTGCGACCCTGGTGCAGCCGGGTACGGGTACGCGTAAGGAATCAAAACCCGTTTGCGACCTCTGATTCAGAAGGATGCTGCTGGGAAGTTGGAGGCAGTCGCCCTCCAGCAACAACGGAAGGTCGAGGAGCGATGCTCACAACCATGAGCAGAGTGCCGAGCATCATGGTAGGGAGCACAGTCGGGGCATCTGCCAGTCATCTCAGTCAGTCAACCCATGGCACCTGGGTCTGTTCCGTGACCTCCAGCCAGCGAGCCTTTGACACGTCACGTGACCTCAAAGTGCACCTAGCATGGAACAAGTGGCGTGGTGACGTCGCCACCACTTTGTGGTGGACGGCGGTTGTTGTTTTTAATTGTGATTGCGTCTGTGTGTGTAAGACATGTATGTATCCTCACTGGAGTTGGCCATGAGTGGAAATCTAAGTCACGTAGTCAGGTTCGTAGAGCAGTGGCACTAATAAATGTGCCATTGCTCCCCTCACTCACAAACTCACTCCCACTCTAACACACACACACACTCACCTTCACACACTCTCAACACACCCTCACCCCCTCACGATGGAGGCACGTAGGAATGCCCCAGCCGTAACGGTGACCGCGATTGGATGCCGTGAGGGACACCGCACGCGCTACGTGTTCCTTTCGCCATAGAATCAGGTACGTTGTAAGGTCGGGGGCGGGGGCGCCTTGGGCAGTGAGGGGGTTCCTGGGGGGCACCGTGGGGGGGGCGGGGGGGGGCAGCACGCACCGGAACACCTCCTTCAGCTGCTTTACTTTGTTGTCCGGAAACTTCTTGGCGTTGCTCTCATCTAGGAAAGCCCTGGCGTAGGCCAAGGGGCCTGCGTTCACCTAAAGGGTGGGGGCAGGGGACAGATAGGGGCCATGGAGGTCACTGCATGGTCGAAGGTCAAGTTATCACGGTCAGCATTTGTGCACAGATAAATGTCATAAGCCAGGGTGGTTAAGGTCAAACATGCACACCAACCTACACACACGCTCCAAACACACTCGTATACGCGCCTACCTGCACATACACCTACACACTCCTATAAACGCACAGACCTGTACAAACCTACACAGACACCTCCACACCTCTGTACACCCCTGTATGCACCTACACGCACACAACTACAACAGCAACAACGACCGGCATTTGTCACTAAGTGACGTCACCACGGTATACTTTTGCGAGGATATGTGCACTTTAAAGCCATTTGAAGTGTCAAACGTCCGCTTGCAGGAGGTAATGGGACAAGCCCAGGTGCCATGCGTTGACTGACAGAGATGACTGATGCACCACCTGTGCCCCCCTACCGTGCCAACTTGCTGAATTTTAGCCACCCAGCACTCCGCTAGTTGTTGCAAGCGTTTCTCCTCTGCTGGAGGGCGACTGCCTCTAACTGACCAGTAGCATCCTTCATGAGCTTCCTCCACAGAGGACGATCTTCATTCATTGGCAAGTCCACTCAAGCTCCATATCCTCTCGAACCACATCATTCCGTCTCTTCTCTAGCCTGTGCCGTGCCTATATTCTTAGGTTTTCGGTAAAGTCACGTAGGTAAAACATTTTTATTAATAAAAGTAAAATAAAATAAAAAATCACGACGTTTCGGAGGCAACACAAGCTTCCGTCTTCAGGTGGAACCGGCACAGCACGATAGCTGTATCAAGTAAATGAGAGATTACAAGAGATACTACCCCGTATATATAATGGTTGAGGGGGGGGGGGGATGGGCCAGGAACGGCCCCTGTTTAGCCCCCTCTATCCTGCCGAACAAAAGCTGCTTGGGCCTATGGTGGCTGGGCATAGGGGCTACATGACCCAGCCAAAGCAGCCTTGACTGCGGGAGGAGCTCACTGATGGGACTGTGTCCAGATCTTTCAAGGATTTGTGAGCTCGTCACACAATCCAGCCTGGTTAAACTCAGGATAGATTGTAGGCAGGCCAGACGGAATGTTTCTAACCAGCGAAGATGTTCTATCAGGGGGGTCGACCTTTCTCGAGCATAGAGAAGGGAGGGCATGACCGTGGCCGAGACGACCAGAAGCTTCGTGTGGAGCAACAGACCAGGTAGCTTCCACACAGCATTACGCAGGTAATTCGGAGTGAGACCTCTGTTGTCAAACAAGAGCTGGTCATAAGCACCCTGCCCAGGCACGGAAACCTCACCACTCTCTTCACAACTGCCCTGCAAATGGGTGGAGTTGGGGGGGTGTTTAGTTGTGGAGTCTTTTTGTAAGGCCCCACCTCTTAGTGGCACGCTCCAGGTCAAGCAGCAGTGCCAACTCCTCAGAGAGAGCAGCAATCACCAGATAATCAGCATACATAACATGGTTGACAGAGAGGGAGCCATCCCTCTACTCACCTAGGCATGGATCAGCCTCCTACTGTATCTGTACCAGATGGAGATTTCTCAGTACAGCCATGGAAAGCAACTCAAACTAGAGTATGTGGTCGAAAAAGATGTTAAATGTGGGAGCCAGAGGACATCCCTGTCGCACCTCAGGGTGAATGGGAAATGGCTTTGACTCCCGGTCACGTAGTTTTACCCAAGCCTTCCCACCATCATGATGCCCTTTAATGATTATGAGCAGAGAGTCAGGGACCCCAAAAGCATGAAGAACAACCCAGAGCCCAGGCCTATTCATGGTATCATAGGCCTTGACCAGGTTAATGAAGCAGAGATGTAGGTCCTGTTGAAATTCTGTACATCTCTGCTGTAGCAGACAGACAGAGATTAATCCTTGCCAGGACCTTTCCAGGCACACTGATGAGGGAGATGCCCTGGTATTTGTTACAATCTGTGCAGTCCCCCTTTTTAAATATGGGGACAACCAGAGCATCCTTCCAATCCTGCGGAACCCATCCTGTGGACCGGACAGTTGTGATGATGTCACGTAGGTCAGTCTGCACACAGACGCCACCCTCCCTCAGTAGCTCACTTGAGAGGTCACCTCTGCCCGGCGCTTCCTCAACCGATGCACCTCAGCCAACCACTCACAAGGAGCGGCTACTTGAATTATATTTGAGGCACAGCAGAACCAGCAGGGTCAACCCCAGGGGTTTCAACTCCCCCAAGACCTCACCTCCCCCAAGACCTCACAGAAATGCTCCGCAGACCTGCAGACCTGTTCTTGCAGGTCGGAGATCTGATCACCATTCTCTCCCTTAAGGATGGTGATAGGTGTGGGCACTGCAAGTTATTTTTTTATGGTGTTAAAAAGTGATTCGTTATCGTGTACTCCCGTGGAAGTTTCTATTTCCTCAGCAACCCGCGACCACCACTCATTCTCGCAGCGCTGCACGGCTCTCCGTGCGAATGCGGTAAGCCTCATTGTTCTTAGACGTAAGATTTTGTAGTTGGTGGGAATGGGCCTGCCGCTTACATTCAACTAGCCGGAACACCTCCTCAGTTAGACAGGGTTTCTGGAGAGGGACTCAAAGCAGCCATAGCAACTGCATAAGTCGCTGTATTAAAACTCCCCAATTTCCCCTTGGCGTCTTCATCAGCGAATCGAGATCAGGCTACTGTGAGTTTGAATTGGGCACTAGATGGACACCCACCACCGGAGTGGAAAAAATGCAGGCATATCTTACAGATGACAAGCCGATGGTCAGTGGGCAGATCAGCTGCACGGGAGGTCCTGAGGCTACGGGTCTCTGCATGAGTCTATGAGTCTCTGTACGAGGCTATGCATCTCTTTGCAAGTCTATGGGTCTCTACGTGAGTCTATGGGTCTCTATTAGAGTCTATGGGTCTCTATTAGAGTCTATGGGTCTCTATTAGAGTCTATGGGTCTCTACGTGAGTCTATGGGTCTCTACGTGAGTCTATGGGTCTCTACGTGAGTCTATGGGTCTCTATTAGAGTCTATGGTGACTGGGCTGAGACCAACATCTTACCCCACTTGAGACCCCAAGTAAATCACAGGCAGCTATTTTGGTTGTGTCTCACGACAAAGACAGAAACACACACACGCGCACAGACACTCGCCACGGTGGCTAGGAGATGTTAACTACCTCACCTGGTGTACAGGAGGTTGTGGATTCGATCCCGACCCTGATGTCTTTATATTTGGCGTTTGCATGTTCTCCCCGTGGTGGCGTGGATCATGCATTTTAGAGTATTTGGCTGCTATAAATTTCCACACAATAAGCCACTTTGTTGAGCTATCATTTGTGGCCAGGTCGCTTCTGAAAAAAGAGCTATATCGCTTAGCGGACCTTACCTGGTAAAATAAAAATCGTTAAATAGCTAACATAGAAACACACGTGCATACAGCATACAGGAATATGGGGAAGGGAACGCGGTGGTAGTAGTGGTGGCAGTGGTGATGATGGTGACAGTGGTGATGATGGTGGCGGTGAAGGCAGTGGTGGCGGTGGTGGTGGCGGTGGTGCTGGTGGCAGTGGTGGCACCGTACCTGCGGGGAGACGCAGCCCTGCAGCTTGAGCTGCAGCTTGATCATGTCGACGTCGCGCGCCACGCTCAGCGCCCGCAGCTCGGCGGCCCGCGCGCTCATCTCGTCCACCGCCACCTCCACGGGGCCCAGCTCCACGTGCTGCTCGTACATCACGGGCACGCGCTTCTTCACGTACGGGAACGCGTGCGTGGCTGGGGGGGGGGGGGGGCACGGGGTCACATGAGTTCATGGGGGGGATGGTCACTGGAGAGGCCTTCGTTGAACACAAAGCTCCCCCGTATAACATTCACAGTGTGTTGGGGCAAGTGCTGTTAGTGAGGTCGGCACGACGCATTAAAGAGTGAGTGGCTAACACAGCCCGAGCGGCGACATTAACACTTCGATACCAGGTACTCATTTGAGGCCGAGTCAACCTAGGGGAGACCCAGGACAAATAAAAAATATTTGTCACTGCAGTTGGCTCTGATTGGGAATCGAACTCGGGTCGCTGGGTTCACTGTGCAGCGTGCTAACCGCCGCGCCACCGTTCCTCACCACAAGCAGGCACGCATGCACACAGGGGCCTCATTCTCAGAGGCAAGACCTCTGTGCCCCTGCTATGTATTTAGCGAATGCAAAGTCCCTAAGCCCAATGGTTTCTTCCGGCCCTGCTATGTTGAGGGCGAGTAGGCCTCCTCTGCATTTGTGGATTGGGCAGACTTCGAGGATGTGGTGCATGGTTTGCTCCACCCTACAGGCACATCGGGGGCGTGCTCTTATGCCCCATCGGTGGAGGTTGGCGAGGCATGGGCCATGACCAGTCCTGAGCCTGTTGAGGGTGGACCCACTGCTCCTTCCTGGGAGGCTGAAACCAGGGGGCTGCTGTTGTGTGGGGGTAGTCACGAGGTACTTATTTGCCAGGTCCAGTGACTCCCATTCTTGTGTCCAGGTGAGATTCGTGTTGAAGTCGTGAGTGGGTGGGCGAGTAGGTGGGTGACTGGGTAAGCGAGTGGGTAGGTGAGTGCGTGGCTGGGTGAGTGAGTGGGTGGCTGGGTGAATGTGTAGCTGGGTGAGTGAGCGGGTGGCTGGCTGGGTGGGTGAGTGAGTGGGTGGGTTAGTGGGTGGGTGAGTGGGTGAGTGGGTGGGTGGCTGGGTAGGTGAGTGCGTGGCTGGGTGAGTGAGTGGGTGGCTGGCTGGGTCTTTGCAAATCGTCTTTCTTGAGGGGAGGCGTCATCTTTGTTGGGTTGAAGAGGTCCTCGTGGACTGGCAGGTGCGTGGAGTTGCGAACTTTTTCAATTATTTTGTGGGTTATTGCGAGTCTGCGGATGTGTGAGGGGGGTGATGTTTGCCATAACAGGGACCCAGGGAAGCGGGGTGGATTGTAGTGTACCAGTGATGATGAGCATGGTGGCGTTTAGCTGTGTGTCGACTCTGTGTGTGTGCGACGACCTTGACCAGACGGGTGCACAGAGAAGGAGAGTGCTGCGAGTGATGAGGTGGTGGTAGTCGCTGTACCCCACATTGAGCCGGCTAGTTTGTAGAGGGGGTTGTTCCTGGTTTTGACCTTGGCTACTGATATTCTCAGGTGCTACCGGAAGGCGAGTGATCTGTCCAGGGTCACCCCGAGGTATGTGGGAGTGGGGTGGTGCTGTAGCTTGTTGTTTTTCATCTGGATGTTGAGCTCTTGCTTGGCCTTTGCGCTGTAGAGGTGGAATACACTGGTCACAGTTTTTGCAGGGCTTGGTTTGAGTCGCCACGTGTTGCAGTATTGTTCAGGTTTTTCTGCATCCTCGTTCAGGGCCTGATCCAGGGTGTCGAAGTTGGGAGCTTGCGTTGCCAGAAAGATGTCGTCAGCGTGTATGAATTGTCGGGAGATGGTTTCTGGTAGGTCATTTGTGTAGAGGTTGATCAGAGTGGGGGCCAGCACTGAGCCTTCAGGGAGACCGTGTCCCTGCTAAAGCCCCGCTCCTCTTCCCAAACCTTGGCCATGGCACTCACGAAAGTGTTCCGTTCCGGCACGGACTCCCTGGGCCTACCCTGGGTGTGGTCAGCCGGAAGGTGGCAGTGGCAACGCTGCAATTGTTGGTGGATCACAAATACAAAGATCCCCCCCCACAGCCTTAACAGACTGTTGAGGCAAGTGCTGTTAGCGAGCAGCATCTATGAATGCCGGAACGGCACACGAGGGGGTGAGTGGCCAGCACCACGCCCGGCCGCCTTTGTCTCCCTAGTGGCGATGCTTACACACCGCATCAGGTACTCATTTGAGGCCGAGTCGACCTAGGGGAGGCGCAAGACCGGTTGAGGCAATCGTCACCGGCGTTGGCCGTGAGCGGGAATCGAACTCGGATCGCTGGGGTCACACGTGCACACACACGCGCGTGCACACACACGCGCGTGCACACACACGCGCGTGCACACACACGCGCGTGCACACACACGCGCGTGCACACACACGCGCGTGCACACACACGCGCGTGCACACACACGCGCGTGCACACACACGTGCGTGCACACACACGCGCGTGCACACACACGCGCGTGCACACTCACTTTGTGAAACTCGCTCCCCGTTGGCATCGAGGAGGAGCGCGCTCCCCGACTCGCCAGGAGGCGGTACAGCAAAGGACGGACTGATCCCCATCTGTCCGTTCTTTATGGGATCGGGTGGTCGTTGTCCTCCCCCTGGCACGCGGGGGTTTTCTCACGGGTGCTCTGGCTCTCTCCCACGGCTATCAACACACTCTTCATCGTCATAAAATTGGCTCGAAACACCGTGATGAACAACGACTGCGGAGCTTTAGCAAATATTAGCCGTGTGGGCCGCCCACCGCCCAGCTGCTGCCTCCCCCGCTCGTCCACGGTTCCTCCTCGTCCACCGCGAGGTTTGCACGAGCGACGACGACAATGTTGCGAGGCGTTAAACTACTCGTCGCCATCGCCACCACCGTCCTCGTGATGGTGATGATGTCATCAGTTTTGCCCGACTGGCATTCAAAAATAGCCACGGACATCGACTCTTCCCCCCCCCCCCAGGGTTCCACGTCTCTCCAATGGCGCCTGGCCCCTCCCCTCCCTCCCTTCCACACTATCAGCAGCACCGCAAACGCAACACTCCGCTTATCACCGCGCACCGCCGCAGCTGATAAGCACCGCAGTGACACGGCGTTCTGGGCTGCAGGCAGAAATAAAAGGGAGGCACTGGTGCAGCCTCGCAACCGCTCATCGTCGCCCCCCCCCCCCCCCCCCCCACCGCTGGCGGAACGGCATCCTCGAGATGGAAGACGAACGAAGGGCCGACTGCTCTTCCACACCCTAATGCCTCGGATGAAGGCAGGAGGGGGCGGCGGTATGGAGGTGGGAGGTTTGGGAAATCCCGATGCTCCTCCCCATCGCTTCAGCTACCGAGGAGATGGCGGTGGACAGACGACCGTCGCGCCATTCACCGGAGTTCCCCTTGCCGGAGCTCCGCCTAGCCCGAGCTCCGCTCATCCAAACTCAACTCACCAAATCTTCGCTCAGCCAAACTCCGCTTACCAGAACTCCGCTCAACCAGAGCTCCGCTCACCGTCAGCAGCGTCCCTAGTCAAACACAGAGATGGCGCCCGGCCGGACCCCTTGCCCCTTGCCCAGCCACCCCAGGTTCCGCACCGCGCATCTCCCCGCGTCCCCCCGTAGACTCACAAAGAGGGGCGTCACAGTGGCTAGGAGATGTTAACAACCTCGCCCGGTATACAGCAGGTTGTGTGGGTGCGGTCTCGATCCTGACGCCTGCTGTATATATTTGGAGTTTGCGTGTCTCTCTCTCTCCCCGTGGTCGTGTGGATTTTTCTCCGGGTCCTCCGGTTTTTTCCTCCACATTTAGAAACACGAGTTTAGAGTATTTAGCTGCTATACATTTCCACGTGATGATAAGCCACTTAATTTGGCTATCGTTTGTGATGACCAGAGCTGTAGACAGGACAGACTCACTCAGCAGTAGCAGCAGCCACGATATCCGCCGGCCTGCGCTGCACGCAGCCAGCTTCTGCTGCTGCGCTACCGGCTAAGACGCACGCACTGAGAGCGTCCCGCTTAGGGGTCGGCGCGGCGCCTCACTGGTGAGGACGGCGCGGCGCCTCACTGGTGAGGACGGCGCGGCGCCTCACTGGTGAGGACGGCGCGGCGCCTCACTGGTGAGGACGGCGCGGCGCCTCACTGGTGAGGACGGGACGGCGCGGCGCCTCACTGGTGAGGACGGCGCGGCGCCTCACTGGTGAGGACGGCGCGGCGCCTCACTGGTGAGGACGGCGCGGCGCCTCACTGGTGAGGACGGCGCGGCGCCTCACTGGTGAGGACGGCGCGGCGCCTCACTGGTGAGGACGGCGCGGCGCCTCACTGGTGAGGACGGCGCGGTGCCTCACTGGTGAGGACGGCGCGGCGCCTCACTGGTGAGGACGGCGCGGCGCCTCACTGGTGAGGACGGTGCGGTGCCTCACTGGTGAGGACGGTGCGGTGCCTCACTGGTGAGGACGGTGCGGCGCTTGCACTGCTCGTGGACGCTGCCCTGGCGGGCGCCGCCGCCCCCCAGCGTGTACGGCGTCTCGAAGGCGAAGCGCCGCACGCCGTGGCAGCGCTCAAACTCCGAGCGACGCTCCTGCTGCTCCTTCTCCTCGAAGTACGGCGTCACGTACGTCACCTGGATGTACGCGCACCGCGGGTCCAGGTCCTTGGCGTTCACCTGGGGAGGGGGCGAGGGGGGGGGGGGCACCAGGGTCACGGCTCGGGTCGTGGCCGCAAGGGAAGCGTGGGGGGGAGGGGGAAGCGCACCAGGTAGGGACGGCGCCGCGAGCACGGATTGGGGATTGCCAGGCCGGGTGCGCTTTGAGGCCCGCCTGAAGTGTCGAACGCCCGCTGGTGGAAGGACACGGGACAGACCCAGGTGCCGTGGGTCGACTTACTGAGATGACTGGCTGATGCACCACCTGTGCCCCCTACTGTGCCAACTTGCTGCGTTTTAGCCGCCTGGCGCTCCGCTCATTGTTGTGAGCGTCGCTCCTCTGCCCTCTGTTGTTGTTGGAGGGTGACTGACCAGTTGGGGGCAGTTGTAAACATACATGTGTGTGTACATACACAAGTTTCTCCACCCATATAGCCTTAACAGACTGCTGGGGCAAGTGCTGTTAGCGAGAACCTATGAAGGCCGGCACGTCACAAGAGGGGGTGGGTGGCCAGCACCACGCCCGGCTGCTTTTGTCTCCCCAGTGGCAATGTTTACACACTGCATCAGGTACTCATTTGAGGCTGAGTCGACCTAGAGGAGGCCCAGGACCGGTTCAGATAATCGTCACTGGTGTTGGCCATGAGCGGGAATCAAATTCGAATCGCCGGGTTCGTAGCGCAGCGCACTAACCATTGCGCTACCGCTCCCCTGCACAGGACCACACACACATGTGTAATCACACGGACACACACAAGCACCCACACATACATGTGTACACACACACGGATACGCACACGTAGATGTGTCCACACACGACTACACACGCGGCGCCGTGATGACGTCACCACGGCGCCTGTGCCAGGTGCACTTTGAGGCTACGCGAAGTGTCGAAGGCTCGCTGACAGGACAGACCCAGGAGGACAGACCCAGGTGTCACGTCTACACGCACACACGTGTACACACGTGTACACACGTGTACACGCACTCGGGCGCGCACACACGCCCTAAAAACCTCCGCCTACCCTCCCCCGTCCCCAACCCCCCTGACCCCGCGCGTGCCTTGCCCGAGTCCTGGAGCATGCGGACGTTGGAGGCGCCGAACTTGTGGGCGTAGAGCTGCAGCAGGCGCTGCGACAGCTCGGCCAGGCCCGTCAGCTTGGGCTCCTTGTACACGTACTCCTTGCCGTCCTCCTCCTCGAAGAAGCCCTGCAAGGGGGGCGCCGGCGGGAGGTGGCGGCAAGGGGGATGGGGAGGGGAGGTTGAGGAGGTGCGGCCGGGAGAGAGGAGGGGGTTGACGAGGAGGAGGAGCAGGACGAGGAGGAAGAGGAGAACCAACCCCCCATGTACCCCCCCCTTGTACCCCCCCCTTCCATAGAAGAACATAGGGAGGGGGACATGTCAAGGTGATGCACGGGGACGTGGGGGGACACACGGAGAGACACACGGAGAGACACACGGGGTGACACACGGGGAGACACACGGAGAGACACACGGAGAGACACACGGGGAGACACACGGAGAGACACACGGGGTGACGCACGGAGAGACACACGGGGTGACACACGGAGAGACACACGGAGAGACACACGGGGAGACGCACGGGGAGACACACGGAGAGACACACGGAGAGACACACGGGGAGACACACGGAGAGACACACGGGGTGACACACGGAGAGACACACGGAGAGACGCACAGGGAGACACACGGAGAGACACACGGGGTGACACACGGAGAGACACACGGGGTGACACACGGGGAGACACACGGAGAGACACACGGGGTGACACACGGGGAGACACACGGAGAGACACACGGAGAGACACACGGAGAGACACACGGAGAGACACACGGAGAGACACACGGGGTGAGACACGGGGAGACACACGGAGAGACACACGGAGAGACACACGGGGAGACACACGGAGAGACACACGGGGTGACGCACGGAGAGACACACGGGGTGACTCACGGAGAGACACACGGAGAGACACACGGGGAGACGCACGGGGAGACACACGGAGAGACACACGGAGAGACACACGGGGAGACACACGGAGAGACACACGGGGTGACACACGGAGAGACACACGGAGAGACGCACAGGGGAGACACACGGAGAGACACACGGGGTGACACACGGAGAGACACACGGGGTGACACACGGGGAGACACACGGAGAGACACACGGGGTGACACACGGGGAGACACACGGAGAGACACACGGAGAGACACACGGAGAGACACACGGAGAGACACACGGAGAGACACACGGGGTGACACACGGGGTGACACACGGAGAGACACACGGGGTGACACACGGGGTGACACACGGAGAGACACACGGAGAGACACACGGGGAGACACACGGAGAGACACACGGGGTGACACACGGGGTGACACACGGAGAGACACACGGGGTGACACACGGGGAGACACACGGAGAGACACACGGGGTGACACACGGGGAGACACACGGAGAGACACACGGAGAGACACACGGAGAGACACACGGAGAGACACACGGGGTGACACACGGGGTGACACACGGAGAGACACACGGGGTGACACACGGAGAGACACACGGGGAGACACACGGAGAGACACACGGGGTGACACACGGAGAGACACACGGGGAGACACACGGAGAGACACACGGGGTGACACACTGAGAGACACACGGGGTGACACACGGGGTGACACACGGGGTGACACACGGAGAGACACACGGAGAGACACACGGGGTGACACACGGGGAGACACACGGAGAGACACACGGAGAGACACACGGAGAGACACACGGGGTGACACACGGGGTGACACACGGAGAGACACACGGGGTGACACACGGAGAGACACACGGGGAGACACACGGAGAGACACACGGGGTGACACACGGGGTGACACACGGGGTGACACACGGGGTGACACACGGAGAGACACACGGAGAGACACACGGGGAGACACACGGAGAGACACACGGGGTGACACACGGGGTGACACACGGAGAGACACACGGGGTGACACACGGGGAGACACACGGAGAGACACACGGAGAGACACACGGAGAGACACACGGGGAGACACACGGAGAGACACACGGGGAGACACACGGAGAGACACACGGAGAGACACACGGAGAGACACACGGGGAGACACACGGAGAGACACACGGAGAGACACACGGAGAGACACACGGGGAGACGCACGGAGAGACACACGGGGAGACACACGGAGAGACACACGGAGAGACACACGGAGAGACACACGGAGAGACACACGGGGAGACACACGGAGAGACACACGGGGTGACACACGGGGTGACACACGGAGAGACACACGGGGTGACACACGGGGAGACACACGGAGAGACACACGGAGAGACACACGGAGAGACACACGGGGAGACACACGGAGAGACACACGGGGAGACACACGGAGAGACACACGGAGAGACACACGGAGAGACACACGGGGAGACACACGGAGAGACACACGGAGAGACACACGGAGAGACGCACGGGGAGACGCACGGAGAGACACACGGGGAGACACACGGAGAGACACACGGAGAGACACACGGAGAGACACACGGGGAGACACACGGAGAGACACACGGAGAGACACACGGGGAGACGCACGGAGAGACACACGGAGAGACACACGGAGAGACACACGGGGTGAGACACACGGAGAGACACACGGAGAGACACACGGAGAGACACACGGGGGAGACACACGGAGAGACACACGGAGAGACACACGGGGTGAGACACGGGGTGACACACGGGGAGACACACGGGGTGACACACGGAGAGACACACGGGGAGACACACGGAGAGACACACGGAGAGACACACGGGGTGAGACACGGGGTGACACACGGGGAGACACACGGGGTGACACACGGAGAGACACACGGGGTGACACACGGGGTGACACACGGGGAGACGCACGGAGAGACACACGGAGAGACACACGGAGAGACACACGGAGAGACACACGGGAGACGCACGGGGAGACACACGGAGAGACACACGGGGAGACACACGGGGTGACACACGGGGAGGCACACGGGGAGACACACGGAGAGACACGGGGAGACACACGGGGAGACACACGGGGTGACACACAGGGAGACACACGGAGAGACACACGGGGTGAGACACACGGGGTGAGACACGGGGTGAGACACGGGGTGAGACACACAGGGATAAACATGGGGAGACACACGAGGAAACACACGGGGAGACACGGGGAGAGACACGGGGAGAGACACGGGGAGAGACACGGGGAGAGACACACGGCGTGAGACACGGGGTGAGACACGGGGTGACACACGGGGAGACACACGGGGAGACACACGGGGTGAGACACACGGGGAGACACACGGGGAGACACATGGGGAGACACACGGGGAGAGACACGGGGAAAGATAAGGGGAGAGACACGGTGAAACACGGGGTGAGACACGGACAGACACACGGGGTGAGACACGGGGTGAGACACACGGGGAGACGCACGGGGAGACGCACGGGGAGACGCACGGAGAGACGCACGGGGAGACACACGGAGAGACGCACGGGGTGAGACGCACGGGGAGACGCACGGAGAGATGCATGGGGAGAGACACACGGAGAGACGCATGGAGAGACGCACGGGGAGAGACACGGGGAAAGACACGGGGAGAGACACGGTGAAACACGGGGTGAGACACGGACAGACACACGGGGTGAGACACGGGGTGAGACACACGGGGAGACGCACGGGGAGACGCACGGAGAGACGCACGGGGAGATGCACGGGGTGACACACAGGGAGACACATGGGGAGACGCACGGGGTGAGACACGGGGAGAGACACGGTGAGAGGCACGGGGAGAAACACTGGGAGACACACGGGGAGACGTACGGGGTGAGACACACGGGGAGACGTACGGGGAGACGCACGAGGTGAGACACATGGGGTGACACACGGGGTGAGACACATGGGGAGACGCACGGGGTGAGACACACGGGGAGACGCACGGGGTGACACACGGGAGACACACGGGGTGACACACGGGAGACACACGGGAGACACACGGGGTGACACACGGGAGACACACGGGGTGACACACGGGAGACACACGGGAGACACATGGGAGACACACGGGGTGACACACGGGAGACACACGGGGTGACACACGGGAGACACACGGGGTGACACACGGGAGACACAGGGGAGATACACGGGGTGAGACACACGGGGTGACACACGGGGTGACACACGGGGTGACACACGGGGTGACACACGGGGTGAGACAAGGGGTGGCACACGAGGTGAGACACGGGGTGACACACGGGGTGACACACGGGGTGACACACGGGAGACACACGGGGTGACACACGGGGTGACACACGGGGTGACACACGGGGTGACACACGGGGTGACACACGGGAGACACACGGGGTGACACACGGGGTGACACACGGGGTGACACACGGGAGACACACGGGAGATACACGGGGTGAGACAGGGGGTGACACACGGGAGACACACGGGGTGACACACGGGGTGACACACGGGGTGACACACGGGAGACACACGGGGTGACACACGGGGTGACACACGGGAGACACACGGGGAGACACACGGAGAGACACACGGGGAGACACACGGAGAGACACACGGAGAGACACACGGAGAGACACACGGGGAGACACACGGAGAGACACACGGAGAGACACACGGAGAGACGCACGGGGAGACGCACGGAGAGACACACGGGGAGACACACGGAGAGACACACGGAGAGACACACGGAGAGACACACGGAGAGACACACGGGGAGACACACGGAGAGACACACGGGGTGACACACGGGGTGACACACGGAGAGACACACGGGGTGACACACGGGGAGACACACGGAGAGACACACGGAGAGACACACGGAGAGACACACGGGGAGACACACGGAGAGACACACGGGGAGACACACGGAGAGACACACGGAGAGACACACGGAGAGACACACGGGGAGACACACGGAGAGACACACGGAGAGACACACGGAGAGACGCACGGGGAGACGCACGGAGAGACACACGGGGAGACACACGGAGAGACACACGGAGAGACACACGGAGAGACACACGGGGAGACACACGGAGAGACACACGGAGAGACACACGGAGAGACACACGGGGAGACGCACGGAGAGACACACGGAGAGACACACGGAGAGACACACGGGGTGAGACACACGGAGAGACACACGGAGAGACACACGGAGAGACACACGGGGAGACACACGGAGAGACACACGGAGAGACACACGGGGTGAGACACGGGGTGACACACGGGGAGACACACGGGGTGACACACGGAGAGACACACGGGGAGACACACGGAGAGACACACGGAGAGACACACGGGGTGAGACACGGGGTGACACACGGGGAGACACACGGGGTGACACACGGAGAGACACACGGGGTGACACACGGGGTGACACACGGGGAGACGCACGGAGAGACACACGGAGAGACACACGGAGAGACACACGGAGAGACACACGGGAGACGCACGGGGAGACACACGGAGAGACACACGGGGAGACACACGGGGTGACACACGGGGAGACACACGGGGAGACACACGGAGAGACACGGGGAGACACACGGGGAGACACACGGGGTGACACACAGGGAGACACACGGAGAGACACACGGGGTGAGACACACGGGGTGAGACACGGGGTGAGACACGGGGTGAGACACACAGGGATAAACATGGGGAGACACACGAGGAAACACACGGGGAGACACGGGGAGAGACACGGGGAGAGACACGGGGAGAGACACGGGGAGAGACACACGGCGTGAGACACGGGGTGAGACACGGGGTGACACACGGGGAGACACACGGGGAGACACACGGGGTGAGACACACGGGGAGACACACGGGGAGACACATGGGGAGACACACGGGGAGAGACACGGGGAAAGATAAGGGGAGAGACACGGTGAAACACGGGGTGAGACACGGACAGACACACGGGGTGAGACACGGGGTGAGACACACGGGGAGACGCACGGGGAGACGCACGGGGAGACGCACGGAGAGACGCACGGGGAGACGCACGGAGAGACGCACGGGGTGAGACGCACGGGGAGACGCACGGAGAGATGCATGGGGAGAGACACATGGAGAGACGCATGGAGAGACGCACGGGGAGAGACACGGGGAAAGACACGGGGAGAGACACGGTGAAACACGGGGTGAGACACGGACAGACACACGGGGTGAGACACGGGGTGAGACACACGGGGAGACGCACGGGGAGACGCACGGAGAGACGCACGGGGAGATGCACGGGGTGACACACAGGGAGACACATGGGGAGACGCACGGGGTGAGACACGGGGAGAGACACGGTGAGAGGCACGGGGAGAAACACTGGGAGACACACGGGGAGACGTACGGGGTGAGACACACGGGGAGACGTACGGGGAGACGCACGAGGTGAGACACATGGGGTGACACACGGGGTGAGACACATGGGGAGACGCACGGGGTGAGACACACGGGGAGACGCACGGGGTGACACACGGGAGACACACGGGGTGACACACGGGAGACACACGGGAGACACACGGGGTGACACACGGGAGACACACGGGGTGACACACGGGAGACACACGGGAGACACACGGGAGACACACGGGAGACACACGGGGTGACACACGGGAGACACACGGGGTGACACACGGGAGACACACGGGGTGACACACGGGAGACACAGGGGAGATACACGGGGTGAGACACACGGGGTGACACACGGGGTGACACACGGGGTGACACACGGGGTGACACACGGGGTGACACACGGGGTGAGACAAGGGGTGGCACACGAGGTGAGACACGGGGTGACACACGGGGTGACACACGGGGTGACACACGGGAGACACACGGGGTGACACACGGGGTGACACACGGGGTGACACACGGGGTGACACACGGGGTGACACACGGGAGACACACGGGGTGACACACGGGGTGACACACGGGGTGACACACGGGAGACACACGGGAGATACACGGGGTGAGACAGGGGGTGACACACGGGAGACACACGGGGTGACACACGGGGTGACACACGGGGTGACACACGGGAGACACACGGGGTGACACACGGGGTGACACACGGGAGACACACGGGGTGACACACGGGGTGACACACGGGGTGACACACGGGGTGACACACGGGGTGACACACGGGGTGACACACGGGGTGACACACGGGTCACTTACCGCTGCCTTTAGAGTCGGCAAGGGGGATGGGGTGAGGGAAGAGACAGGGAAAGCAGAAGGCGGACATGACACCCGCCACCTCACCTTCACGCACCGCCTCCCAAACCACCCCACCCTCATCACTCACCATCACTCACCATCACTCACCATCACTCACCATCACTCACCATCACTCACCATCACTCACCATCACTCACCTCCTCTGCATCCCTCAACTCCTCCTCGTCGCACCTCACCATCCTCACCAAAACCTCTACTTGCTCGAGGGGTGGAGCCTCACTAAAGGGGGCGGAGCCTCACTAAAAGAGGTGGAGCCTATCTCTCAAGGGGGCGGGGCCAAACTCTCAAGGGGGCGGAGTTACACTCTCAAGGGGGTGGAGCCTCACTAAAGGGGGTGGGTCCTACTCTCGAGGGGGCGGAGCCTAACTCTCAGGGGTTGGAGCCAAACTCTCAAGGGGGCGGAGTTACACTCTCAGGGGAGTGGGCCTCACTCTCAAGGGGTGGGGCTTCACTGAAGGGGGTGGGGCTTCACTAAAAGGGGTGGAGCCTCACTAAAAGGGGTGGAGCATCACTCTCACCTGGCCGAAGAAGGCCACCCTGAAGAAGGTGCCGAGCAGGCGCCGCCCGCTGTGCGTCACCTCGACCACCTTCTTGTAGGCGAGGTGCAGCGTGTTGTACACCTGGGACAGACGCTGCGGGGCGACACGGGGTCAGGGGTCAGTGTGCGGGGGGGGCGACACGGGGTCAGGGGTCAGTGTGGGGGGGGAGGCTCGCCGGGGCCTCTTCTGGCTCACCTGGAAGTCGCGGCGCTTCTCGAAGACGGGCACGACGAGGCGGTAGACGTCGGCCAGCAGCTCGTAGCGCTCGGCCTTCCAGAGCGCGTCGGCCACGCGCTCCAGCAGCTCCACCAGCACGTCCTGGCGGCGACGCAGCACCGCCACGTCGTGGCATGAACACCCCGCCGCAGCACAACGACTCTTCGTTAGGGGGGCACCTCGTTGGGGGGGGCACCTCGTTAGCAGGGGCAACTCGTTAGGGGGGCACCTCGTTAGCAGGGGCAACTCGTTAGGGGGGCACCTCGTTAGCAGGGCCAACTCGTTAGGGGGGCACCTCGTTAGCAGGGGCAACTCGTTAGGGGGGCACCTCGTTAGCAGGGCCAACTCGTTAGGGGGGCACCTCGTTAGCAGGGCCAACTCGTTAGGGGGGCACCTCGTTAGCAGGGGCAACTCGTTAGTTGGGGGAGGGGGGCAGCACATCGTCGTGACGGCGCTCACCTCGTTGAAGTGAACGTCCTCCATGCCGGCGTCCTCTTTCATGGCCGCTTCCTCGTCCACGTTGGGGGAGAGGACGCGGAACGCGGCGCAGCCCCTGGTGTACGAACCTGGGGGATGCACAGAGGGGGTACCCACAGAGGGGTACGCAGAGGGGGTATCCACAGAGGCGGTACGCAGAGGGGGTACGCACAGCGATGGGCAATGAGTAATCAGTGGCGAGCGATTGGTGATTGGAGATTGGTGGTGAGTGATGGGTGGTGAGTGATGGGTGGTGAGTGATGGGTGGTGAGTGATGGGTGATGAGAGATGGGTGGTGAGTGATGGGTGGTGAGAGATGGGTGGTGAGTGATGGGTGGTGAGTGATGGGTGGTGAGTGATGGGTGATGAGAGATGGGTGGTGAGTGATGGGTGGTGAGAGATGGGTGGTGAGTGATGGGTGGTGAGTGATGGGTGGTGAGTGATGGGTGGTGAGTGATGGGTGGTGAGTGATGGGTGGTGAGTGATGGGTGGTGAGAGATGGGTGGTGAGTGATGGGTGGTGAGAGATGGGTGGTGAGTGATGGGTGGTGAGTGATGGGTGGTGAGTGATGGGTGGTGAGTGATGGGTGGTGAGTGATGGGTGGTGAGTGATGGGTGGTGAGAGATGGGTGGTGAGTGATGGGTGGTGAGTGATGGGTGGTGAGAGATGGGTGGTGAGTGATGGGTGGTGAGTGATGGGTGGTGAGTGATGGGTGATGAGAGATGGGTGGTGAGAGATGGGTGGTGATGGGTGGTGAGTGATGGGTGGTGAGTGATCGGTGATTAGAGATAAGTGGTGAGTGATGGGTGGTGAGTGATGGGTGGTGAGTGATGGGTGGTGAGTGATGGGTGATTAGAGATGGGTGGTGAGTGATGGGTGGTGAGTGATGGATGGTGAGTGATGGGTGGTGAGAGATGGGTGGTGAGTGATGGGTGGTGAGTGATGGGTGGTGAGTGATGGGTGGTGAGTGATGGGTGATTAGAGATGGGTGGTGAGTGATGGGTGGTGAGTGATGGGTGGTGAGTGATGGGTGGTGAGTGATGGGTGGTGAGTGATGGGTGGTGAGTGATGGGTGGTGAGTGATGGGTGGTGAGTGATGGGTGGTGAGTGATGGGTGGTGAGTGATGGGTGGTGAGTGATGGGTGGTGAGTGATGGGTGGTGAGTGATGGGTGGTGAGTGATGGGTGGTGAGTGATGGGTGGTGAGTGATGGGGGGTGAGTGATGGGTGGTGAGTGATGGGTGGTGAGTGATGGGTGAGTAGATGATGGGTGGTGAGTGATGGGTGGTGAGTGATGGGTGGTGAGTGATGGGTGGTGAGGTGATGGGTGGTGAGTGATGGGTGGTGAGTGATGGGTGGTGAGTGATGGGTGGTGAGTGATGGGTGGTGAGTGATGGGTGGTGAGTGATGGGTGGTTGAGTGATGGGTGGTGATGTGAGTGTGATGGTGAGTGATGGGTGGTGAGTGATGGGTGGTGAGTGATGGGTGGTGAGTGATGGGTGGTGAGTGATGGGTGGTGAGGATGGGTGGTGATGATGGGTGGTGTATTGATGGTGTGAGTGATGGGTGGTGAGTGATGGTGGTGAGTGATGGGTGGTGAGTGATGGGTGGTGAGTGATGGGTGGTGAGTGATGGGTGGTGAGTGGGGTGGTGAGTGATGGGTGGTGAGTGATGGGTGGTGAGTGATGGGTGGTGAGTGATGGGTGGTGAGTGATGGGTGGTGAGTGATGGGTGGTGAGTGATGGGTGGTGAGTGATGGGTGGTGAGTGATGGGTGGTGAGTGATGGGTGGTGAGTGATGGGTGGTGAGTGATGGGTGATTGAGATGGGTGGTGAGTGATGGGTGGTGAGTGATGGGTGGTGAGTGAGGGTGGTGAGTGATGGGTGGTGGGATGGGTGGTGAGTGATGGGTGGTGAGTGATGGGTGGTGAGTGATGGGTGGTGAGTGATGGGTGATAGAGAGGGTGGTGAGTGATGGGTGGTGAGTGATGGGTGGTGATGTGAGTGTGATGGTGAGTGATGGGTGGTGAGTGATGGGTGATTAGAGATGGGTGGTGAGGATGGGGTGAGTGATGGGGGTGAGTGATGGGTGGTGAGTGATGGGTGGTGAGTGATGGGTGGTGAGTGATGGGTGGTGAGGGGGGGTGATGGTTGGTGAGTGATGGGTGGTGAGTGATGGGTGGTGAGTGATGGGTGATTAGAGATGGGTGGTGAGTGATGGTGTGAGTGATGGGTGGTGAGTGATGGGTGGTGAGTGATGGGTGGTGAGTGATGGGTGGTGAGTGATGGGTGGTGAGTGATGGGTGGTGAGTGATGGGTGGTGAGGATGGGTGGTGAGTGATGGGTGGTGAGTGATGGGTGGTGAGTGATGGGTGATGAGTGATGGGTGGTGAGGATGGGTGGTGAGTGATGGGTGGTGAGTGATGGGTGGTGAGTGATGGGTGGTGAGTGATGGGTGATGGTTCCTCACCTTTGCGTTTGAGGTACTCGGCGACGAGAGCGGCGACGTGGACGTAGCACATGGCGGCCTGCGGCGCACGCAGCAAAGACAAAGGTTCCCCGTGTAGGCTACACTGGCTGGTTGGGTCAAGTGCTGTGAGCGAGCATCTGTGAAGGCCGGCACGGCACACGAGGGGGTTGGTGGCCAGCGCCGGTGGCGATGTTTCCACACCGCATCGGGTACTCATTTGAGGCCGAGTCGACCTAGAAAAGGCCCAGGATCGGTTCAGATAATCGTCGCTGGTTGGCCGCCGTCGTGAGCAAGCGCAGTGTGCTAACCACTGCACCACCGCTCCCCACACGCACAGACACACGCACAGACACACGCACAGACACACGCACAGACACACGCACGTACACACGCACACGCACAGACACACGCACAGACACACGCACAGACACACGTACACGCACAGACACACGCACAGACACACGCACAGACACACGCACACGCACAGACACACGCACAGACACACGCACACGCACAGACACACGCACAGACACACGCACACACGCACAGACACACGCACAGACACACGCACAGACACACGCACAGACACACGCACAGACACACGTACACACGCACAGACACACGTACAGACACACGCACAGACACACGCACAGACACACGTACACACGCACAGACACACGTACAGACACACGCACAGACACACGCACAGACACACGCACAGACACACGCACAGACACACGTACAGACACACGTACAGACACACGTACAGACACACGTACAGACACACGTACAGACACACGTACAGACACACGTACAGACACACGTACAGACACACGTACAGACACACGTACAGACACACGTACAGACACACGCACAGACACACGCACAGACACACGTACAGACACACGTACAGACACACGCACAGACACACGCACAGACACACGCACAGACACACGTACAGACACACGCACAGACACACGCACAGACACACGTACAGACACACGCACAGACACACGTACAGACACACGCACAGACACACGCACAGACACACGCACAGACACACGCACAGACACACGTACAGACACACGCACAGACACACGCACAGACACACGCACAGACACACGTACAGACACACGCACAGACACACGCACAGACACACGCACAGACACACGCACAGACACACGCACACGCACAGACACACGCACAGACACACGCACAGACACACGCACAGACACACGCACAGACACACGTACAGACACACGCACAGACACACGCACAGACACACGTACAGACACACGCACAGACACACGCACAGACACACGCACAGACACACGTACAGACACACGCACAGACACACGCACAGACACACGCACAGACACACGCACACGCACAGACACACGTACAGACACACGCACAGACACACGTACAGACACACGTACAGACACACGTACAGACACACGTACAGACACACGTACAGACACACGTACAGACACACGCACAGACACACGCACAGACACACGTACAGACACACGTACAGACACACGTACAGACACACGCACAGACACACGTACAGACACACGTACAGACACACGTACAGACACACGTACAGACACACGTACAGACACAGTACAGACACACGTACAGACACACGCACAGACACACGCAAGACACACGTACGACACACGTACAGACACACGCACAGACACACGTACAGACACACGTACAGACACACGCACAGACACACGTACAGACACACGTACAGACACACGCACACACCCCCGTACGGACACACGTACAGACACACGTACAGACACACGTACAGACACACGCACAGACACACGTACAGACACACGTACAGACACACGCACAGACACACGCACAGACACACGTACAGACACACGCACAGACACACGCACAGACACACGCACAGACACACGTACAGACACACGCACAGACACACGCACAGACACACGCACAGACACACGTACAGACACACGCACAGACACACGCACAGACACACGTACAGACACACGCACAGACACACGTACAGACACACGTACAGACACACGCACAGACACACGTACAGACACACGTACAGACACACGTACAGACACCGTACAGACACACGTACAGACACACGTACGACACACGTACAGACACACGCACAGACACACGTACAGACACACGCACAGACACCCGTACAGACACACTTACAGACACACGTACAGACACACGTACAGACACACGTACAGACACACGTACAGACACACGTACAGACACACGTACCAGACACACGTACAGACACACGTACAGACACACGTACAGACAACACGTACAGACACACGTACAGACACACGTACAGACACACGCACAGACACACGTACAGACACACGTACAGACACACGCACAGACACACGTACAGACACACGTACAGACACACGCACAGACACACGTACAGACACACGTACAGACACACGTACAGACACACGCACAGACACACGTACAGACACACGTACAGACACACGCACAGACCACACGCACAGACACACGTACAGACACACGCACAGACACACGCACAGACACACGCACAGACACACGTACAGACACACGCACAGACACACGTACAGACACACGCACAGGACACACGTACAGACACACGCACAGACACACGTACAGACACACGCACAGACACACGCACAGACACACGTACCAGACCACGCACAGACACACGCACAGACACACGCACAGACACACGCACAGACACACGCACAGACACACGCACAGACACACGCACAGACACACGCACAGACACACGTACAGACACACGCACGTACACGTACAGACACACGTACAGACACACGTACAGACACACGTACAGACCACGCACGTACACACGTACAGACACACGTACAGACACACGCACGTACACACGCACACGCACAGACACACGCACAGACACACGCACGTACCACACGTACAGACACACGCACAGACACACGCACAGACACACGTACAGACACACGCACAGACACACGCACAGACACACGCACAGACACACGCACAGACACACGCACAGACACACGCACAGACACACGCACAGACACACGCTACAGACACACGCACGTACACGTACAGACACACGTACAGACACACGTACAGACACACGTACAGACACACGCACGTACACACGTACAGACACACGTACAGACACACGCACGTACACACGCACACGCACAGACACACGCACAGACACACGCACGTACACACGTACAGACACACGTACAGACACACGTACAGACACACGCACGTACACACGCACACGCACAGACACACGTACAGACACACGCACGTACACACGCACAGACACACGTACAGACACACGTACAGACACACGCACAGACACACGCACGTACACACGTACAGACACACGCACAGACACACGTACAGACACACGTACAGACACACGTACAGACACACGCACAGATACACGTACAGACACACGTACAGACACACGCACGTACACACGCACACGCACAGACACACGTACAGACACACGCACGTACACACGTACAGACACACGTACAGACACACGCACAGACACACGTACAGACACACGTACAGACACACGCACGTACACACGCACACGTACAGACACACGTACAGACACACGCACGTACACACGTACAGACACACGTACAGACACACGCACAGACACACGTACAGACACACGCACGTACACACGCACACGCACAGACACACGTACAGACACACGCACGTACACACGTACAGACACACGTACAGACACACGCACAGACACACGTACAGACACACGTACAGACACACGTACAGACACACGTACAGACACACGTACAGACACACGCACAGACACACGTACAGACACACGTACAGACACACGTACAGACACACGTACAGACACACGTACAGACACACGTACAGACACACGTACAGACACACGTACAGACACACGCACACGCACACGCACAGACACACGTACAGACACACGTACAGACACACGTACAGACACACGCACAGACACACGTACAGACACACGTACAGACACACGTACAGACACACGTACAGACACACGTACAGACACACGCACAGACACACGTACAGACACACGTACAGACACACGTACAGACACACGTACAGACACACGTACAGACACACGTACAGACACACGTACAGACACACACAACAACAACCAGAGCCGCCATTGCCACGAAGCGGCGGTGACGTCACCACGATGCTCATGCCAGGCTACGTGCACTTTGAAGCCACGTGAAGGGTCGAAGGCCGACAGGAGTTCACGTTATGCGTCAACTGATGGTGCCAGGCTAAGTTCAGGAGGTCACAGGACAGACCCAGGTGCCAAGAGTTGATTGGCAGAGGCACCATCTGTGCTGCTCACCGTGCCACCTTGCCATGGTTCAGCTGACTCAGAGGGGTGTTCCTAGCGCCCAATGAGGCGAGGGGACAGGAGTGTGAAGTTGTGACGGTGTGACGTGTGACGGTGTGACGTGTGACGGTGTGACGTGTGACGTGTGACGGTGTGACGGTGTGACGTGTGACGTGTGACGTGTGACGTGTGACGGTGTGACGTGTGACGGTGTGACGGTGTGACGTGTGACGGTGTGACGTGTGACGCTGTGACGTGTGACGGTGTGACGTGTGACGGTGTGACGTGTGACGTGTGACGCTGTGACGTGTGACGTGTGACGCTGTGACGTGACGTGTGACGGTGTGACGTGTGACGGTGTGACGTGTGACGGTGTGACGTGTGACGGTGTGACGGTGTGACGGTGTGACGTGTGACGGTGTGACGGTGTGACGTGTGACGTGTGACGTGTGACGTGTGACGGTGTGACGTGTGACGTGTGACGTGTGACGGTGTGACGTGTGACGTGTGACGTGTGACGGTGTGACGTGTGACGGTGTGACGTGTGACGCTGTGACGTGTGACGTGTGACGCTGTGACGGTGTGACGTGTGACGGTGTGACGTGTGACGTGTGACACTGTGACGGTGTGACGTGTGACGGTGTGACGTGTGACGTGTGATGGTGTGACGGTGTGACGGTGTGACGGTGTGACGTGTGACGTGTGACGCTGTGACGTGTGACGTGTGACGGTGTGACGGTGTGACGGTGTGACGTGTGACGTGTGACGGTGTGACGTGTGACGGTGTGACGTGTGACGTGTGACGGTGTGACGTGTGACAGTGTGACGTGTGACGTGTGACGGTGTGACGTGTGACGGTGTGACGGTGTGACGTGTGACGGTGTGACGGTGTGACGTGTGACGGTGTGACGCTGTGACGTGTGACGGTGTGACGGTGTGACGTGTGACGGTGTGACGTGTGACGCTGTGACGTGTGACGCTGTGACGTGTGACGTGTGACGTGTGACGGTGTGACGTGTGACGGTGTGACGTGTGACGGTGTGACGTGTGACGTGTGACGGTGTGACGTGTGACGGTGTGACGGTGTGACGTGTGACGGTGTGACGTGTGACGTGTGACGTGTGATGGTGTGACGTGTGACGGTGTGACGTGTGACGCTGTGACGTGTGACGGTGTGACGTGTGACGTGTGACGCTGTGACGATGTGACGTGTGACGGTGTGACGTGTGACACTGTGACGGTGTGACGTGTGACGGTGTGACGTGTGACGCTGTGACGTGTGACGGTGTGACGTGTGACGGTGTGACGTGTGACGCTGTGACGTGTGACGGTGTGACGTGTGACGTGTGACGCTGTGACGGTGTGACGTGTGACGCTGTGACGGTGTGACGGTGTGACGTGTGACGCTGTGACGGTGTGACATGTGACGGTGTGATGTGTGACGCTGTGACGGTGTGACGTGTGACGCTGTGACAGTGTGACGTGTGACGCTGTGACGGTGTGGCGGTGTGACGGTGTGACGTGTGACGCTGTGACAGTGTGACGTGTGACGCTGTGACGTGTGACGGTGTGACAGTGTGACGTGTGACGCTGTGACAGTGTGACGTGTGACGCTGTGACAGTGTGACGTGTGACGGTGTGACGTGTGACGCTGTGACGGTGTGACGTGTGACGCTGTGACAGTGTGACGTGTGACGCTGTGACGGTGTGACGATGTGACGTTGTGACGCTGTGACGCTGCGACGTCACGGCGTCGGAGAGGCGCACTTCGGAGAGGTCTCCGTGCTGCAGGTGCGTGCGCGCCATGCTCTCTAGCCAGGCCTTGCGCAGCTCCGGCGTGCTGGCGTAGGAGCGCGCCAGGCTGTACTGCAGGTCGGCCAGCAGCTCGGGGTCGCCAGCGTGCTCCTTCATCTGCGCCGTCGCCATCAGCACCGTGCGGATCCTCTTGGTCAGGTCCTTCACCTCCGCGGGGAACGCCGTGGCCTGGGGGTGGTGGCGGGGGATGGAGAGGGAGGAGGGGAGGGGATGAGGTGAGGGAGCAGGAGAGGAAGCAGGGGAAGGAAGAGGGGAGGGAGGAGGGGAGGGAGGAGGGGAGGGAGGTGGCGATATGAAGAGGGCGCGTGCACACACACACACACAAGGGTGACGCACCGAGTGTGTGTGAGGTGGTGGTGGTGATGATGTTGTTGCTGATGTTGATGATTGTGATGTTGATGATTGTGATGTTGGTGATGATGTTGTTGCTGATGTTGATGATTGTGATGTTGGTGATGATGTTGTTGCTGATGTTGTTGTTGATGCTGATGATTGTGATGTTGATGATTGTGATGTTGGTGATGATGTTGTTGCTGATGTTGATGATTGTGATGTTGATGATTGTGATGTTGGTGATGATGTTGTTGCTGATGTTGTTGTTGATGTTGATGATTGTGATGTTGATGATTGTGATGTTGGTGATGATTTTGTTGCTGATGTTGTTGTTGATGCTGATGATTGTGATGTTGATGATTGTGATGTTGGTGATGATGTTGTTGCTGATGTTGATGATTGTGATGTTGATGATTGTGATGTTGGTGATGATGTTGTTGCTGATGTTGTTGTTGATGTTGATGATTGTGATGTTGATGATTGTGATGTTGGTGATGATTTTGTTGCTGATGTTGATGATTGTGATGTTGATGATTGTGATGTTGGTGATGATGTTGTTGCTGATGTTGTTGCTGATGTTGATGATTGTGAGGTTGACGGTGATGTTGACGGTGATGTGGCCACCACCTTCATGGCCTTGTCGCTGTTGGCATAGTTGTTGACGATGGACAGCGAGTGCTGGAACCTGGAGCCTCCGATGCCAACAACATCAGCGATCAGCTGACTCACGGCGATGATGATCTACGCACACACACGCACATCACACACATAAACATCACACACACGCATACACACGGACGTCACCCACACGCACACGGACGTCACACATGCATGTCCTAAACGGATGTCACACACGTATGTCACATGTGCACGTCAAACACATACAACCTATACACATGCAAGTCACAAAAGGATGTCACACAAAGACAAACGCACACACACAGACGTCACACACACGCACGTCACACACACGGACAAAATAGACGCACGTCACACACGCACACAAACGCGAACGGCACACACAGACGTTACACATGCACATCACAAACGGATGTCACACATGCACAACCGCACACACTCCTACACACACACACATCCACCTACATGCACACACAACACACACACGCTTGCACACATGGACGTCAAACACGCACGGTGCGCATGCACGCACACACTAAAAACTAACTCCAGGTAAAGCCCACTGAGCTGTGTAGCTCTTTTTCAGAAGCGACCTGGCCACAAACGATAGCTCAACAAAGTGGCTCATCACTTGGGAATGCATTTCAGCCAAATACGCACGTTCATTCTAAATCTGGTGAGAAAAAACGGAGGACCCAGGGAAAAATCTCCGCGACCACGGGGAGAGACACTCAAACTCCAAATATACAGCAGGCGTCAGGGTCGGGACCTCCTGCGTACCAGGCGAGGTAGTGAACATCTCCTCGCCACAGCGGCGCCCCACATACTCGCACACCCCGCTCGCGGCGCGCTCGCACGCACGCGCACACCTGCAGGTGGGACCGCACGAAGGACTTTCTGCCCGTGTACTCGAAGTTGTTGCGCATGAGCAGGTAGAGCAGAGCGCAGGCCTCGCTGCGTGTGGAGCCCAGCTTGGCGCTGCAGCACTTGAGCAGCTCATAGCAGAGCGAGGCGCACATGTCGGCACGGCCCGTGAACAGCGCCGCCGGGAACTGTGGGGGTCAGGCGCACGGATAACAGGGAGAGACGGAGGCGGATTCCAATTTGGTTCGTGTGAACTGTGGGGGTCAGGGTACCAGGGTCAGCACCAGCAGCGGGGTTAGGATTAACGGTCAGGGTGACGGGTGTTGGGCAGTGCGTGGTGCCGTGCGTGGTGCTCTGTGAAGTGTTGAGTGCCGTGCGGTGCTGCGTGTGGTGCTGCGTGTGGTACGGTGTGGTGCTGCGTGTGGTATGGTGTGGCATGCAGTGGCACCTGCTGTGTGTAGTGCGGTACTGTAATGTGCAGTGCCGCGGTGCTGCGTTGCGGTGCCATCTGCTGTGTGTGGTGCTGTGTGTGGTGCTGTGTGTGGCGCTGTGTGTGGCGCTGTGTGTGGTGCTGTGTGTGTGTGTGGCTCTGCGTGTGGTGCTGTGTGTGGTGCTGTGTGTGGCGCTGTGTGTGGCGCTGTGTGTGTGTGTGGTGCTGCGCGTGGTGCTGTGTGTGGCGCTGTGTGTGTGTGTGGTGCTGTGTGTGGCGCTGTGTGTGGCGCTGTGTGTGTGTGTGGTGCTGCGTGTGGTGCTGCGTGTGGTGCTGTGTGTGGCGCTGTGTGTGGCGCTGTGTGTGTGTGTGGTGCAGTGGCGGCTCCTGCAAAATCTCTCAGGGGGGGCAAATGTCTGGATGATTGATAAGAATAAGGTCCACCCATGCAATGGATAAATTAACAGCTTAAGCATGTAAAGGCAACTTCACTTCTTTAATATTAATGAAAAATAAAGTGACTCTTACAATACATCTTGTTTGTTTCTATACTCACTATTAAAACAAACCACTCAAGTTTATTTTATTAAAGATTCCACTCGGTGGCGATAAACGTGCTTACGTATGATGACGTTAGCACGTATGATGACGTAAGCACGTTAGGGCGAGCCCTCCCGGAAGCCATAGAGAATGCATTGGAGCGCCCCCCGGTCGAAAAAAAACATCTTTCAATGTAAGTCTATGGGGCCAATCGGGGCGATTCTCAGCCGGAGTGAAATCGCCCAAAAAGAGGCGGTACTCCACAGAACGTGACATGACGCTGATTGGACTATATCCAGAGGCTGCAGTGACGGCTAGCGTGACTCTGTGGTTCAATGACATTGGTGGTGCGTCGCCCAATCGCCCTAATGAAGAAACCGCCCCTGGTGTGGTGCTGTGTGTGGCGCTGTGTGTGGCGCTGTGTGTGTGTGGTGCTGCGTGTGGTGCTGTGTGTGTTGCTGTGTGTGGCGCTGCGCGTGGTGCTGTTTGTGGTGCTGTGTGTGGCGCTGTGTGTGGTGCTGTGTGTGTGTGTGGTGCTGTGTGTGGTGCTGTGTGTGTGTGTGGTGCTGCGCGTGGTGCTGTGTGTGGTGCTGTGTGTGTGTGTGGTGCTGTGTGTGGTGCTGTCTGTGGTGCTGTGTGTGTGTGTGGTGCTGCGTGTGGTGCTGTGTGTGTGTGTGGCGCTGCGTGTGGTGCTGTGTGTGGTGCTGTGTGTGTGTGTGGTGCTGCGTGCGGTGCTGTGTGTGGTGCTGTGTGTGTGTGGTGCTGTGTGTGGCGCTGTGTGTGGCGCTGTGTGTGGCGCTGTGTGTGTGTGTGGTGCTGCGCATGGTGCTGTGTGTGGCGCTGTGTGTGTGTGTGGTGCTGTGTGTGGCGCTGTGTGTGGCGCTGTGTGTGTGTGTGGTGCTGCGTGTGGTGCTGTGTGTGGTGCTGCGCGTGGTTCTGTGTGTGGTGCTGTGTGTGGCGCTGTGTGTGGTGCTATGTGTGGCGCTGTGTGTGGTGCTGTGTGTGTGTGTGGTGCTGTGTGTGGTGCTGTGTGTGTGTGTGGTAATGCGCGTGGTGCTGTGTGTGGTGCTGTGTGTGTGTGTGGTGCTGTGTGTGGTGCTGTGTGTGGTGCTGTGTGTGTGTGTGGTGCTGCGTGTGGTGCTGTGTGTGTGTGTGGCACTGCGTGTGGTGCTGTGTGTGGTGCTGTGTGTGTGTGTGGTGCTGCGTGCGGTGCTGTGTGTGGTGCTGTGTGTGTGTGTGGTGCTGTGTGTGGCGCTGTGTGTGGTGCTGTGTGTGTGTGTGGTGCTGCGTGCGGTGCTGTGTGGTGCTGCGTGTGGTGCTGTGTGTGGTGCTGTGTGTGGTGCTGTGTATGTGTGTGGTGCTGTGTGTGGTACTGGGTGTGGTGCTGTGTGTGGCGCTGTGTGTGGTGCTGTGTGTGGTGCTGTGTGTGGTGCTGTGTGTGGTGCTGTGTGTGGCGCTGTGTGTGTGTGTGTGGTGCTGTGCGTGGTGCTGTGTGTGGCGCTGCGTGTGGTGCTGTGTGTGGCGCTGTGTGTGGTGCTGTGTGTGGCGCTGTGTGTGGTGCTGTGTGTGTGTGTGGTGCTGTGTGTGGCGCTGTGTGTGGTGCTGTGTGTGGTGCTGTGTGTGGTGCTGTGTGTGTGTGTGGTGCTGCGCGTGGTGCTGTGTGTGGTGCTGTGCGTGGTGCTGTGTGTGGCGCTGCGTGTGGTGATGTGTGTGGCGCTGTGTGTGGTGCTGTGTGTGGTGCTGTGTGTGGCGCTGTGTGTGTGTGTGGTGCTGCGCGTGCTGCTGTGTGTGGCGCTGCGTGTGGTGCTGTGTGTGGTGCTGTGTGTGGTGCTGTGTGTGGTGCTGTGTGTTTGTGGTGCTGTGTGTGTGTGTGTGGTGCTGTGTGTTTGTGTGGTGCTGTGTATGTGTGTGGTGCTGCGTGTGGTGCTGTGTGTGTGTGTGGCACTGCGTGTGGTGCTGTGTGTGTGTGTGGTGCTGCGTGCGGTGCTGCGTGTGGTGCTGCGTGTGGTGCTGTGTGTGTGTGTGGTGCTGTGTGTGGTGCTGTGTGTGGTGCTGTGTGTGGTGCTGTGTGTGTATGTGGTGCTGTGTGTGGTGCTGTGTGTGTGTGTGGTGCTGTGTGTGGTGCTGCGTGTGTGTGTGGTGCTGTGTGTGGTGCTGCGTGCGGTGCTGCGTGTGGTGCTGCGTGTGGTGCTGTGTGTGTGTGTGGTGCTGCGTGTGGGTGTGTGGTGCTGTGTGTGTGTGTGGTGCTGTGTGTGGGTGTGTGGTGCTGTGTGTGGTGCTGTGTGTGGTGCTGGGTGTGGTGCTGCGCATGGTGCTGTGTGTGGTGCTGTGTGTGGCGCTGTGTGTGGTGCTGCGTGCGGTGCTGTGTGTGCGTGTGGTGCTGTGTGTGGTGCTGCGTGCGGTGCTGTGTGTGCGTGTGGTGCTGGGTGTGGTGCTGCGTGTGGTGCTGTGTGTGCGTGTGGTGCTGTGTGTGGTGCTGCGTGCGGTGCTGTGTGTGCGTGTGGTGCTGGGTGTGGTGCTGCATGCGGTGCTGTGTGTGCGTGTGGTGCTGTGTGTGGTGCTGCGTGTGGTGCTGTGTGTGGTGCTGCGTGTGGTGCTGTGTGTGGTGCTGTGTGTGGTGCTGTGTGTGGCGCTGTGTGTGTGTGTGGTGCTGTGTGTGGCGCTGTGTGTGTGTGTGGTGCTGTGTGTGGTGCTGTGTGTGTGTGTGGTGCTGTGTGTGGTGCTGTGTGTATGTGTGGTGCTGTGTGTGGCGCTGCGTGTGGTGCTGCGCGTGGTGCTGTGTGGTGCTGTGTGTGGCGCTGCGTGTGGTGCTGTGTGTGGTGCTGTGTGTGCGTGTGGTGCTGTGTGTGGCGCTGTGTGTGGTGCTGTGTGTGTGTGTGGTGCTGCGTGCGGTGCTGTGTGTGGCGCTGCGTGTGGCGCTGTGTGTGGCGCTGTGTGTGGTGCTGTGTGTGTGTGTGGTGCTGCGTGCGGTGCTGTGTGTGGTGCTGTGCGTGGTGCTGTGCGTGGTGCTGTGTGTGTGTGTGGTGCTGCGCGTGGTGCTGTGTGTGGTGCTGTGCGTGGTGCTGTGTGTGGTGCTGTGTGTGGCGCTGTGTGTGGTGCTGTGTGTGGTGCTGTGTGTGGTGCTGTGTGTGGTGCTGTGTGTGGTGCTGGGTGTGGTGCTGGGTGTGGTGCTGTGTGTGGTGCTGGGAGTGGTGCTGCGCGTGGTGCTGTGTGTGGTGCTGGGTGTGGTGCTGTGTGTGGTGCTGTGTGTGGTGCTGGGTGTGGTGCTGTGTGTGGTGCTGTGTGTGGTGCTGTGTGTGGTGCTGCGTGTCGTGCTGTGTGTGGTGCTGGGTGTGGTGCTGCGTGTCGTGCTGGGTGTGGTGCTGTGTGTGGTGCTGTGTGTGGTGCTGTGTGTGGTGCTGGGTGTGGTGCTGCGTGTCGTGCTGTGTGTGGTGCTGCGTGTGGTGCTGTGTGTGGTGCTGTGTGTGCGTGTGGTGCTGTGTGTGGTGCTGTGTGTGGTGCTGTGTGTGGTGCTGGGTGTGGTGCTGCGCGTGGTGCTGTGTGTGGTGCTGTGTGTGGCGCTGTGTGGTGCTGTGTGTGGCGCTGTGTGGTGCGGTGCTGTGTGTGCGTGCGGTGCTGTGTGTGCATGTGGTGCTGTGTGTGGTGCTGCGTGCGGTGCTGTGTGTGTGTGTGGTGCTGTGTGTGGTGCTGCATGCGGTGCTGTGTGTGCGTGTGGTGCTGGGTGTGGTGCTGCGTGCGGTTCTGTGTGTGCGTGTGGTGCTGTGTGTGGTGCTGCGTGCGGTGCTGTGTGTGCGTGTGGTGCTGCGTGCGGTGCTGTGTGTGCGTGTGGTTCTGGGTGTGGTGCTGCGTGCGGTTCTGTGTGTGCGTGTGGTGCTGTGTGTGGTGCTGCGTGCGGTGCTGTGTGTGCGTGTGGTGCTGCGTGCGGTGCTGTGTGTGCGTGTGGTGCTGGGTGTGGTGCTGCGTGCGGTTCTGTGTGTGCGTGTGGTCCTGTGTGTGGTGCTGCGTGCGGTGCTGTGTGTGCGTGTGGTGCTGCGTGCGGTGCTGTGTGTGCGTGTGGTTCTGGGTGTGGTTCTGCGTGTGGTGCTGGGTGTGGTGCTGCGTGTGGTGCTGTGTGTGCGTGTGGTTCTGGGTGTGGTTCTGCGTGTGGTGCTGTGTGTGCGTGTGGTGCTGGGTGTGGTGCTGCCTGCGGTGCTGTGTGTGCGTGTGGTGCTGTGTGTGGTGCTGTGTGTGGTGCTGCGTGTGGTGCTGTGTGTGGTGCTGTGTGTGTGTGTGGTTCTGTGTGTGGCGCTGTGTGGTGCTGTGTGTGGTGCTGCGTGTGGTGCTGTGTGTGCGTGTGGTGCTGTGTGTGGTGCTGCGTGTGGTGCTGTGTGTGGTGCTGTGTGTGGTGCTGCGTGTGGTGCTGTGTGTGGTGCTGTGTGTGTGTGTGGTTCTGTGTGTGGCGCTGTGTGGTGCTGTGTGTGGTGCTGCGTGTGGTGCTGTGTGTGCGTGTGGTGCTGTGTGTGGTGCTGCGTGCGGTGCTGTGTGTGCGTGTGGTGCTGGGTGTGGTGCTGCGTGCGGTGCTGTGTGTGCGTGTGGTGCTGGGTGTGGTGCTGCGTGCGGTGCTGTGTGTGCGTGTGGTGCTGTGTGTGGTGCTGCGTGTGGTGCTGTGTGTGCGTGTGGTGCTGTGTGTGGTGCTGCGTGCGGTGCTGTGTGTGCGTGTGGTGCTGGGTGTGGTGCTGCGTGCGGTGCTGTGTGTGCGTGTGGTGCTGTGTGTGGTGCTGCGTGTGGTGCTGTGTGTGCGTGTGGTGCTGTGTGTGGTGCTGCGTGCGGTGCTGTGTGTGCGTGTGGTGCTGGGTGTGGTGCTGCGTGCGGTGCTGTGTGTGCGTGTGGTGCTGTGTGTGGTGCTGTGTGTGGTGCTGCGTGTGGTGCTGTGTGTGGTGCTGTGTGTGTGTGTGGTTCTGTGTTTGGCGCTGTGTGGTGCTGTGTGTGGTGCTGCGTGTGGTGCTGTGTGTGCGTGTGGTGCTGTGTGTGGTGCTGCGTGTGGTGCTGTGTGTGCGTGTGGTGCTGTGTGTGGTGCTGCGTGCGGTGCTGTGTGTGCGTGTGGTGCTGGGTGTGGTGCTGTGTGTGGTGCTGTGTGTGGTGCTGTGTGTGGTGCTGCGTGTGGTGCTGTGTGTGGTGCTGTGTGTGTTTGTGGTTCTGTGTGTGGCGCTGTGTGGTGCTGTGTGTGGTGCTGCGTGTGGTGCTGTGTGTGCGTGTGGTGCTGTGTGTGGTGCTGCGTGCGGTGCTGTGTGTGCGTGTGGTGCTGGGTGTGGTGCTGCGTGCGGTGCTGTGTGTGCGTGTGGTGCTGGGTGTGGTGCTGCGTGCAGTGCTGTGTGTGCGTGTGGTGCTGGGTGTGGTGCTGCGTGCGGTGCTGTGTGTGCGTGTGGTGCTGGGTGTGGTGCTGCGTGCGGTGCTGTGTGTGCGTGTGGTGCTGGGTGTGGTGCTGCGTGCGGTGCTGTGTGTGCGTGTGGTGCTGGGTGTGGTGCTGCGTGCGGTGCCTTGTTGATGAAGCCGCGCAGCACGGCGAAGACGTGGCGCAGCGTGGCTTCGGACTGCGGCACGGCGAGGAAGGTGAGCAGCACGTCGAAGACGCGGCGCATCAGCCGCCCGTGGCTCTCCTCTGCCAGCAGCTGCTCCTGACGCACGCAGGCACACGCACGCAGGCACACAGACAAAGGTCCCCCACGTAGCCCAATGCAGTCTGTACGCGAGGGCCGTCGGCGAGTCACGTGATAGACCCAAGGTGGTGCCATGAGATTGACCGACTAAAATGACTGGCAGATGCACCGGCTCTACCCCCTACTGTGCCAGCTTGCTGCGTTGCAGCTGCCCGGCGCTTCACTCGCTGTTGCGAGCGTCGCTTCCCCGGCCCTGCGCTGTTGCTGGGCGACCGCCTCCAAACTGACACACATACGCATGTGTACATACAAAAGACAAAGGTCCCCCATAGAGCCATAATAGAATGTTGGGGCAAGTGATGTTAGCAAGCACCTATGAAGGCCGGCATTGCACACTAGGGCGTGGATGGTAGGCACCGCGCCTGGCCACCTTTGTCTCCCCAAGTGGCAATATTTATACACCGCACTAGGTACTGATTTGAGGCTGAATCGACCTAGGGGAGGCCCAAAACCGGTTCGGATAATTGTCACACCGGTGTTGGTGTTGGTCGTGAGCGGGAATCAAACTCGAAGCTGCCGGGTTCGTGGTGCAGCGCCCCGACTGCTACAATACGGCTCCCCATTCCCAGACACAAAGACAATGATCTCCCGTATAGCCTTAACAGACTGTTGGGGCAAGTGCTGTTAGCGAGTAGCACCCATGAAATCCGGCACGGCACACGAGGGGGTGGTTGGCCAGCACCACACACGCTGACGTGCGTGGGGGCGGGCACACACACACCGACGCCTGGGTCACAATTCCACGTGGGGCGGTGGTGGGCACCTTGAAGCTGTGGGCGAAGCAGGCGAGGGCGTCGAGCACCACGAGCCCGGCCTCCGTCGCCAGCGCCGCCTCCAGCACCGCCTCCACCTCCGAGTGGCCGTAGCCTAGGCACGCACGAGGGCACGCGCACGTGTGCACGGGCGCGCTCGTGTATAGACACGCACATGGGCACGCGCACGTGCGCACGTGTATAGACACGCACGAGGGCACGCACATGGGTGCACGGGCGCGCTCGTGTATAGACACGCACATGGGCACGCACATGGGCACGCACATGGGCACGCACGAGGGCACGCGCGCGTGTGCACGGGCGCGCTCGTGTATAGACACGCACGAGGGCACGCGCGCGTGTGCATGGGCGCGTGCGTGTATAGACACGCACGAGGGCACGCGCGCGTGTACACGGGCGACCGCACGGAGCGGAGACGCTAATGGTGGAGACTGACCAAGAGTCGGGAGATGGCAAAGAGAGAGAGAGGGGCAGAGAGAGACTGAGAGAGACTGAGAGAGAGATAGACACAGAGAGAGAGGGAGGCAGAGAGAGAGAGAGAGGGTCAGAGAGAGAGAAAGTGGGGCAAAGAGAGACTGAGAGAGGCAGAGAGAGAGATAGACACAGAGAGACTGAGAGGCAGAGAGAGAAAGAGGCAGAGAGAGACAGAGATAGACACAGAGAGAGAGGGAGGCAGAGAGAGAGGGTCAGAGAGAGAGAAAGATGCAGAAAGAGGCTGAGAGGCTGAGGGAGAGAGGCAGAGCGGTGAAGGCGACCGAGTGGAGCAGCGTCGAGTGGAGGTTTCCGTTGCTGCTGCCCAGGGATTGCGGCGTGGTGCAGATTCACAGCTGTTAGCGCCGGCGGCAGCGTTCAGAGTGGAGTGCCTTGTTAGGAGTGGGATTGTTAGGAATGTTCTATGAGTGTTAGGGGTGGGAGTGTTAGGAGTGGGATGGGAGTGTTAGGGGTGGGATGGGAGTGTTAGGCGTGGGAGTGTTAGGCGTGGGAGTGTTAGGGTTGGGAGTGTTAGGGGAGGGATGGCAGTGTTAGGTGTGGGAGCGTTAGGGGTGGGAGTGTTAGGGGTGGGAGTGTTAGGTGTGGGAGTGTTAGGGGTGGGATGGGAGTGTTAGGCGTGGGAGTGTTAGGGATGGCAGTGTTAGGTGTGGGAGCGTTAGGGGTGGGAGTGTTAGGGGTGGGAGTGTTAGGGGTGGGATGGGAGTGTTAGGCGTGGGAGTGTTAGGGGTGGGAGTGTTAGGGGTGGGATGGGAGTGTTAGGTGTGAGAGTTAGGGGTGGGAGTGTTAGGCGTGGGAGTTAGGGGTGGGAGTGTTAGGGGTGGGAGTGTTAGGAGTGGGAGTGTTAGGGGTGGGAGTGTTAGGCGTGGGAGTTAGGGGTGGGAGTGTTAGGGGTGGGAGTGTTAGGCGTGGGAGTTAGGGGTGGGAGTGTTAGGGGTGGGAATGTTCGGTGTGGGATGGTGAGCTAGGAATGCTAGGAGCGTTCTAGGAGTGTTAGGGTTGGGCCGGGAGTATTACATGTGTTAAACTCGTGTGCCAGGAGTGGGCTAGGTATGTGAAGCAGGGGGGTGAAGCAGGAGGGAGAAGCAGGAGGGAGCCTGCTTACCATGGTCAATAGCAACCCCCAGAATACTGGAGAGCTTTCTGACGCTGGGGAGACACAGAGAGAGCGCACCGTGGCGTTACTCCTCCTCCTCCACGCCACCGCTGTTGCCCCTCACCATCGCCATCGCCATGGTCAAGGGTCTGGGTTCCAGCCACGGGGATCAAAGGTACATGGGGGAGGGGAATGCGAGGAGGTGCGGGGAGGTGCGGAGAGGTGCGGGGGAGGTGCGTGGAGGTGCGTGGAGGTGCGGGGAGGTGCGGGGAGGTGCGGGGAGGTGCGGGGAGGTGCGGGGAGGTGCGGGGGAGGTGTTGGGAGCGCATGAATCTTGGCACCCGCTCGCTGGCAACTGGACAAGGGACGCAGCCGTGCCGTGCCAGCACGGGGTGGGGGGAACCAACCCGTGGTACGCGAGTCTGTGGGCCTCTGTAGGTCTCTGTGGGTTTCTAGGGGTTTCTGTGGGTCTCTGTTTTGCGGGTGAGTTGGGGGTTGCTCTATCCACTGCTGGATAACCTGGATCAGCTGTGCATGCCGACTACGAGCACCTGAGTCTCTCTTCTGTGCCAAACCGAGCGCCCCACTGACCGCACACGCGCGCCCAAGTGCAATCGCTACACAGACTCATGCTGGGCGGGCCCCGGACGGTAGAGACACCGACACACAGACACACACAGGGACACACACACAAGGGGACATGCACACGGGGACACACGGGGACACACACACAAGGGGACATGCACACAGACACACAGGGACACACACACAAGGGGACATGCACACGGGGACACACAGGGACACACACACAAGGGGACATGCACACGGGAACACACAGGGACACACACATAAGGGGACATGCACACGGGGACACACAGGGACACACACACAAGGGAACATGCACACGGGAACGCACACAGGGACACACACACAAGGAGACATGCACACGGGGACACACGGGGATACACACACAAGACATGCACACGGGACACACGGGACACACACACAAGGGGACATGCACACGGGGACACACAGGGACACACACACAAGGGGACATGCACACGGGGACACACGGGGACACACACACAAGGAGACATGCACACGGGGACACACGGGGACACACACACAAGGGGACATGCACACGGGGACACACGGGGACACACACACAAGGGGACATGCACACGAGGACACACAGGGACACACACACAAGGGGACATGCACACGGGGACACACAGGGACACACACACAAGGGGACATGCACACGGGGACACACGGGGACACACACCAAGGACATGCACACGGGGACACACGGGGACACACACACAAGGGGACATGCACACGGGGACACACGGGGACACACACACAAGGGGACATGCACACGAGGACACACAGGGACACACACACAAGGGGACATGTACATGGGAACGCACACGGGGACACAACAACAACTGCCATTCGCCACTAAGTGGCGTTGACATCAATACGGTGCTTGTGCCAGGCCATGATCACGTTAAGGCCACGTTAAGTGTAGAACGCCCGCTGGCAGGTCACGGGACAGACCCAGGTGCCATGGGTCGACTGAGATGACTGGCCGATGCATCCCCTGTGCACCCTACTGTGCCAACTTGCTGTGCTTTAGTCTGTTGGAATACCTCTGCTGTAGCGGATGAACAAAAAATATGGCATCTGTGCAGGACCGCCCTTTCCTGAAACCACATTGGGGCTCCACAAGCCTCTTCTCAGCGTGCCTGGCATGCCGATGTTGAATAATCCTTGCCAGCACCTTTCCTGGCACACTGAAGAGTGAGATGCCGCTGCAGTTGTTACAGTTTGTGCAGTCCCCCTTCTTAAAGAGGGGGACAACCAGGGCATCCTTCCAATCCTGCGGAACCCATCCAGTGGTCCAGGCTACTGTTATGATGTCATATAGGGCAGTCTGTGCACAAACGCCACCCTCCCTCAGCATTTCGCTTGGGAGATCATCTCTGCCCGGTGCTTTTCCTGTCTCAAAACTCTGGATCGCCTTCTGTATTTCTTCAACAGATGGCACCTCAGCCAGCCACTCACAGGGGGAGACTTCCTACAATATCTCAGGCACCGCGGCCTCAGCAGGGTCATCCCCACTTTGCCCCATGATGTTTTCCAGGCTGAGGGATTTCCTCTCCCCCAAGACCTCACATAAATGCTCAGCAGGTCTGCATACCTGTCCCTGGGGTTCGGAGATCGGATCACCTTTCTTTTCCCTAATGATGGTGATAGGTGTGGTGCTGCAAGTTACTTTTTGATGTGATTCCGGGCTACTGAGGCAGACTCCATCTCCTCAGCAACCAGCGACCGCCACCCATCCTTGCAGCGCTGTAAGGCCCTCGGAACCTCCGAGCGAAGGCTGTTGTAAGCCTCCTCATTCTGTGATGTGGGGTGCTGGAGATGGTGAGAGTGGGCCTGTCGCCTTGTCTCAGCCAGCTGGAACACCTCTGTCAGCCTGGGTTTCTGGGGAGTTTGGACCGTGGACCCAAAGCAGCCATTGCAGCTGCATGAGCCTAAACATAGTCAATTTCCCCTCATCATCAGGAGGAGTGGGGGACGATGCCAACCCCAGCTGCAAGCGATGATGACATTCTGGCTTGCAACTTTAATCAGCTAGCTGAGACCAGGCCACTCTTGGTTTGAACAGGGTCCTGGATGTACATCCACCACCGGAGTGAAAGAATGGCAGGTGCATCTTACAGATGACAAGCCGATGGTCAGTGGGCAGATCAGCTCCACAATAGGTTCCTGGTGTCAACGGCATGGGCTCGCATCCGCTGTTCCATCACTATCTAGTCCAGCAAATGTTGTGTGGATGCGACGATGCCGGAACAGTGTGTTGGTAATTACAAGCCCATGGACTGCACAAAAGTATAGCAGCCTCCTACTGTTGTTAATGAGCTGATCTGGCCCACGCCTTCCAATCATTCCAGACCAAGTGCCAGCATCATGACCCACACAGGCATTAAAGTCACCCAACAAGATGACTCTATCCTCAGTGGCCACTTTAGCCAGCACCTGTAACAGAAGGTCATAGAAGGCATCTGACTCCATTGGCCGTCCCTGCATCCCTCCACTGATGTTCATCTTCGGTGGGGGCATAAGTAGCCACAACCACCACTCCCCGCCTCTGGTTGATTGGAAGGCGAGCCCACAGTAGCATGAAGGCACACAGCTTCCTGCACCTCACTGCCACGCTCCCACACCCCCTTCATATTTTTGTTCATAAGAAGAGCCACTCCCCGGTTGTTTGGCAATCTCCAGGCCAGTGTAGAGGACTGTCCACCCCTCATAGTAACAGGAGCCAGAGCCAGTCCACCGCACCTCCTGGATATTGCAGAGATCCAAGCGGTACCGGTCCAGCTCCCGACAGAGGAGTGGCAGCCTCTTCTCTGCAGCGAGCATTCAAACATTCCACGTGGCAATGTCTTTTTGCTGTTTCTGGAGGAACTCCGAGGGTAAGAATTCAGTCTCTTGGCTCCACCAAATGGGGTTTGGCCAGGAGACGTCATAGATGGCCTGTGCCCCCGGGGCCTCCTGCACTAACCTTATTCTACATTTTTCACGTAGTTTAGTGGTAAATAATTGAAGGTAGAGGGATTACCAGCCCCTCGCTCCCATCCAGAGCCCCCGTTTGGCACCTGCGGTGGCTAAAAGCACCATGAAGGAGTATGGCCGATGTTGTAATTGGCCTTCCTTCCACGGCAATTGCTCACATCCACCACAGTGTTGCCGTCCGGCACCAGCGAAGAGGTAGGGGACACACACACGGGGACACACACACGGGGACACACACACACACGGGGACACACACACACGAGGACACACACACGGGGACACACACACACGAGGACACACACACGGACACGCACACGGGAACACACACACACGAGGACACACACACAGACACGCACACGGGAACAGACACACACACGAGGACACACACATGGACACGCACACGGGAACACACACTTACTGTGGTGCAGGCTGCCACCGCTGGCGCCGGGTTCGGCGCTGGGCAGGTGAGAGAAGCGCGCATGCAGAGAGGCGGCCCTGCTGGGGAGGAGGTTACGCGGCGCGGGGAGCGTCTGAGACTTCCTGTCTGGAGGCGGCGGTGGTGCAGAGCGCACCACCGGGCTAGCGGCCTCCACCGCCCTTCACACAGCACCGCACCATGCCGCACCAGACCAGACAGCGCCAGACAGCACCACACCACACAGAACCACACCGCACCACACAACACCACACCGCACCACACAGCACCATGCCGCACCAGACCAGCCAGCGCCAGACGGCACCACACCACACAGAACCACACCGCACCACACAACACCACACCGCACCACACAGCACCATGCCGCACCAGACCAGACAGCACCAGACAGCACCGTACCACACAGCACCACACCACACCGCACCACATAGCACCGCACCACACAACACCACACCACACCGGAGCATTGGCAGGGCGAGGAAGAGAGAGTGGAGAGTGGAGGAGAGAGGGGAGAAACAGCGCGATGAGCGAGATGTGGCAACTCCTCCATGCTCTACAATTAGATCCACCATCACCATCATCACCACCACCGACACCATCATCGTCACCATCATTATCACCACTGCCATCACCAACACCATCATCGTCACCATCGTGATCACCACCATCACCATCATCAACACCACCAACACAACCGTAACCGTCCACGCATTCGTCGCCATCACCGCCGTGCCCTCGTTGTTAGGTATGGGTGAGGAGATGGTGAGGTGGTGAGGAGATGGTGGTGAGGACAGGGGCCGGCTCGTATCGTCACCGCCGGGTTAGGTCTCAAAGCACATGCGGCCAGGGGGAGGGGGGCGCCCCCCACACTCGCTTGAGGAGTCTTTCTCTCTCTGACACTTCACACACGCACGGCCTGCCCTAGCACCCGCAAAGCCTCCTCACACCATCGCCATCGCCATGGTCATCGTCGTCATTCCGGCTGGGGGAGGCTAGATCAGTATCACTTTTGTGAGAAGTCAACAGTGGTTGTCCCACGTGGATAGAACTCGCCCCCCCCCCCACCACAGGAACGTGGAATGGCCACCGCTAGCGACAGCAGGGTTGTGCACAGGCAGGCGAGTGCCACGCCAAGCGGAGTGGAGTCACGAAGGGCGAGTGGTCGGCGGGGCAAGTGAGGGTGCACGAGGGTGAGCGTGGAGGTGAGTGTGCACACAGGTGAATGTGCAGGTGAGTATGCAGGTGAGTGTGCAGGTGAGTGTGCACACTGGTGAGTGTGCAGGTGAGTGTGCACACTGGTGAGCGTGCAGGTGAGTGTGCACACTGGTGAGTGTGCAGGTGAGTGTGCACACTGGTGAGCGTGCAGGTGAGTGTGCACACTGGTGAGTGTGCAGGTGAGTGTGCACACTGGTGAGCGTGCAGGTGAGTGTGCACACTGGTGAGTGTGCAGGTGAGTGTGCACACTGGTGAGCGTGCAGGTGAGTGTGCACACTGGTGAGTGTGCAGGTGAGTGTGCACACTGGTGAGCATGCAGGTGAGTGTGCACACTGGTGAGTGTGCAGGTGAGTGTGCACACAGGTGAGTGTGCACACGGGAGAGTGTGCAGGTGAGTGTGTACACTGGTCAGTGTGCAGGTGAGTGTGCACACTGGTGAGCGTTCAGGTGAGTGTGCACACTGGTGAGTGCGCAGGTGAGTGTGCACACTGGTGAGTGTGCAAGTGAGTGTGCACACGGGTGAGTGCGCAGGTGAGTGTGCACACTGGTGAGTGTGCAGGTGAGTGTGCACACTGGTGAGTGTGCAGGTGAGTGTGCACACTGGTGAGTGTGCAGGTGAGTGTGCACACTGGTGAGCATGCAGGGGAGTGTGCACACTGGTGAGTATGCACACTAGCGAGCGTGCAGGTGAGAGTGCACACGGGTGAGTGTGCAGGTGAGTGTGCACACTGGTGAGTGTGCAGGTGAGTGTGCATACGGGTGAGTGTGCAGGTGAGTGTGCATACGGGTCAGTGTGCAGGTGAGTGTGCACACTGGTGAGTGTGCACACAGGTGAGTGTGCACACTGGTGAGCGTGCAGATGAGTGTGCACACGGGTGAGTGTGCACACAGGTGAGTGTGCACACTGGTGAGCGTGCAGATGAGTGTGCACACGGGTGAGTGTGCACACAGGTGAGTGTGCACACAGGTGAGTGTGCCCACTGGTGAGTGTGCACACGGGTGAGTGTGCACACAGGTGAGTGTGCACACGGGTGAGTGTGCACAGGTGAGTGTGCACACGGGTGAGTGTGCAGGTGAGTGTGCACACTGGTGAGCGTGCAGGTGAGTGTGCACATATATGAGTGTGCAGGTGAGTGTGCACATGGGTGAGTGTGCACACTGGTGAGTGTGCACACTGGTGAGCGTGCACACGGGAGCTGGTGAGTGCAGGGAGCCTCACCGGCACGGTGAGTGGCGGGGATCGATGGGCTCAGCCAGGTCGCGATAGCATTGATTCAAAAAGAACAACTGTGAAAACAGCCTTACCATGCTCACCACTCACTCAGCACACTCTATACCCACCACACTCTATACCCACCACACTCTATACCCACCACACTCTATACTCACCACACTCACCACTCACCACGCTCACCACTCACCATGCTCTATATTCCCCAAGTTCACAATGTGTGTTTACACACACACACGTACGCACGCACGCACGCACGCACGCGTGCACGTGTAAGGGTACGCACGCGGGGTACTCTACCTGGCCAGGTAGCGCTTCCCCATGTACTTGAACTGATGGAGACAGACCCTGAGGGACACACACACACAGGCATACGAGCGAGTGGGTGAGCGAGCGAGTGAGCGAGCGGGAGGGTGAATGAGCAGGTGGATGAGCGGGCGGCTGGATGGGTGAGCGGGGGTGGGTAGGTAAGCGAGCAGGTGAGAGAGTGGGCAGGTGAGCGGGTGGGTGGGTAGGTGAGCGAGCAGGTGAGAGAGTGGGCAGGTGAGCGGGTGGGTGGGTAGGTAAGCAAGCAGGTGAGTGAGTGGGCAGGTGAGCGGGTGGGTGGGTAGGTAAGCGAGCAGGTGAGTGAGTGGGCAGGTGAGCGGGTGGGTGGGTAGGTAAGCAAGCAGGTGAGTGAGTGGGCAGGTGAGCGGGTGGGTGGGTAGGTAAGCAAGCAGGTGAGTGAGTGGGCAGGTGAGCGGGTGGGTGGGTAGGTAAGCAAGCAGGTGAGTGAGTGGGCAGGTGAGCGGGTGGGTGGGTAGGTAAGCGAGCAGGTGAGTGAGTGGGCAGGTGAGCGGGTGGGTGGGTAGGTAAGCGAGCAGGTGAGTGAGTGGGCAGGTGAGCGGGCAACTCACTCGAGGAGGGTGAAGAAGTCGAGGAGTTCTGCGTCAGAGGCTTTGTTCCAGTACGCGAGCAGCGCGTCTGGGTGCAAACACAAAGGCGACCCCTATAGCTTTAACAAACTGTTGGGGAAAGTGCTGTTAACCAGTGGCACACCGATGAAGGAGCGAGTGAAGGTGGACTGTGGAGAGGGGGGGAAGAGGGGGGTAAGTATGGAAGGGTGGTAGGGAGGGGGTAGTAGAGAAGGGGGGTAGGGAGGGGCAGAGTAGAGAAGGGGGGACAGGAGGGGGTAGTGGGAGTACCCTCCGAGACGCTCTTCAGGACGTGGAGGACGCACAGCAGGAGGCTGCGGCTCTCGCCGTGCTCCAGGGGGCGCAGCCGCAATGCCGACCCCGCACCCTGCTGCCGGGACACAGGTGGGGGTGGTCATGAGCACACTGCCCAGGTATGGAAACTTCTCCACTCTCTCCACAACTGCCTCATCACTCATGGGGAGTTGAGGGGGTGGAGTATTTGGTAACATAAAATTCCCAGTCAAGTGTTTAGTTTTGGTGGGGCTGATGGCAAGGCCCCACTCCAGGTTCAGCAGCAGAGCTGAGTGAGCAGTAATCACCAGAACATAACATGGTTGACCACGCCTGGCCATCGATCAGCCTTCCATTGCATCTGTATCAGATAGAAATTCCTCCGGTACAGCCATGGAAAAAGCTTATCAAACTACGTGGTCAAATATGTCAAATAATGTAGGAATCAGAGCACATCCCTGTCACACCCCAAGGTGAACAGGGCATGGCTCTGAGTCATGGCTATACAGTTTTACCCAGGCCTGCCCACCGTCATGAAGGTGATCAATGATTGTGAGCAGAGAGTCAGGGACCCCGACAGCACAAAGAACAACGCACAGTCCTGTGCTATCACAGGCCTTGACCAGGTCAATAAAGCAGAGATATAGGTCCTGTTGGAATTCTCTACACCTCTGCTATAGGATACGGACAGAGAAAATGGCGTCCATGCAGGACCACCCTGGCCTGAAACCACATTGGGGATCCACAAGCCTCTCCTCAGCTTGCCTAGCAAGGCGATGTTGAATCATATTCTTATTCTTAAAAAAAAAATATGTTGAATCATCCTTGCCAGGCCCTTTCCCGGCCTCGCCCTGAGGAGAGAGATGCCCCTGTCGTTGCTAAGGTGTGTGTGTCTCCCCCTTCTTAAAGAGGGGAACCACCAGGCCATCCTTACAATCCTGCGTAACCCGTCCTGTGGTCCACTTTTATTATGATGTCATCGGGGGCAGTCTGCACTCAAACGCCACCCTCCCTCAGCAGTGCGCTTGGGAGATTATCTCTGCCCCGTGCTTCTACTGGTCTCAGACTCGGGATCGCCTTCAGTATTTACTCAACAGCCAGCACCTCGCCTAACCGCCTTTGTCTCCCCAGTGGCGATGTTTACACACTGCATTTGAGGCCGAGTCGACCTAGGGGAGGCACGGGACCGGTTCAGATAATCGTCACTGGTGTTGGCCGTGAGCAGGAATCAAACTCAGGTCGCCGAGTTCATATCGCAGCGCGCTAACCGCGACACTACCGCTCCCCACACACGCACGCACACACGCACACACGCACACACGCACACACGCACACACGCACGTGCGTCCACCTTCTCGAGCGAGTTGGCCTTGTCGTGCGCGCTCGGCAGCCCCGTGGCGGACTCGATGCTCACGAGCGACGCGCGGGAATCCGCGTGTCTCACCACCAGCTGCCCTGGGGTGCCTGCCGCCCAGAAAGTAAGCACACGCGCACACAGACAGATGCACACGCGCACACACGGACAGATGCACACGCGCACACACGGACAGATGCACACGCGCACACAAACAGATGCACACGCGCACACACGGACAGATGCACACGCGCACACAAACAGATGCACACGCGCACACACGGACAGATGCACACGTGCATATGCGTACACAGACAGACGCACGCGCACGCACACACGGACGGACACACACATGGAGAGACGCGCACACGCACGCATGCACACGCGGGCTTCTCTCTCCGCTGCTGGGCACGAGTAGGGATCGCACCAGCGACGACCGAGAAGAGGTGCCGCCCCTCCCTCACCCCACCGCCCCCACGTGACCACCCCCCCCCACCTGTGCCGGAGATGGCCGAGAAGAGGTCCCCGGCCGCTGTTGCCGTGGCGGCGGCCTGAGCCCGGTGCGGAGTGCACGACCCCGCGGCGTTAGAGGTCGCGCCGCCCGGCACGGGGTTCTGCACGCATGCGGTGGATTCGTCGCGCGTCATCTGCACACGCACACGTATAACAAAGACAAAGATCCCCCGGAGAGCCTTAACAGACTGTTGGGGCTGTATATGAGGGGCTGGATGGCCACCACCATGCCTGACCATCTTTGTCTCCCCAGTGGCGATGGTTAACAATTGCACCAGGTACTCATTTGAGGCCGAGTTGACCTAGGGGAGGAGGCCAAGGACCGGTTCAGATAATCATCACCGGTGTTGGCCGTGAGCGGGAATCGAACTCAGGTTGCCAGGTTCGTATCGCAGTGCACTAACCGCTACACGACCACTTCCCCACACAAGACAAAGATCCCCCGTATAGCCAAGCAAACTGTAGGGGTAAGTGCTGTGAGTGAGCACCTATGAAGGCTGGAATGGTACAAGAGGGGGTGGGTGGCCAACACCACGCCCGACCGCCTTTGTCTCCCCAGTGGCGATGTTTACACACTGCACCAGGTACTCATTTGAGGCTGAGTCGACCTAGTGGAGGCCGAGGACTGGTTCAAATAATCGTCCCTGGTGTTGGCCGTGAGCGGAAATCGAACCCAGGTTGCCAGGTTAATAGCGCAACGCGCTAACCGCTACACTACCGCTCCCCACTTCTCCACACACACACAGACACACACACACACGTGCACACATGCTATTTGCACCATGAGGCCATGTGAAGGGTGGAAGACTCGTTGACAGGAGGTCACGGGACAGACCCAGGTGCCATGGGTCGACTGACTGCAACACCTTCTTGGTTCTTTCGGTAAAGTCACGTAGAAGGGAAGTAAAAAAATAATAAAAATAAAACATAATAAAATAATTCTCACGACGTTTTGGCCACAACGCAAGCAGCCGTCCTCAGGTGAAAACCAGGTCTGTCGAGGCGACAGAGTCTGAATGAAACAGCACACGAGCTTGGAGCATATATATAAGCTGGGCGCCTTGACAAAGGAATTTGCATATCAAGAGGAATTTCTCAAAGTTATGTGGAAACCCTCCCCGTAGAGGCGGTTAAATTTCGATTTAAAGCAACACGTGTCCCCCTCTGTGCCGACTCGCTCCGTATTAGAGGTCGATCTTGACACCGCTGGTACCGGTCATCGGCAAGTCAACTTAGGTTCTGTACTGCATCAGTTCATCTCTTCTATAGCCCGTGTGGTGCCCATTTCCCCCCCTTTATTTAGCTCCCTCCCCCAGCGTGACCTCCGTGTCTCACCCACCCCCACCGAGTCCCCACCATTCCCACCGTGTCCCACCCACCCCCACCGTCCCCACCATTCCTCCCCCACCTTCCCCACCGTCCCTACCGTCCCTGCCCCACCGTCCCCACCATCCCCACCGTCCCTACCGTCCCTGCCCCACCGTCCCCACCGTCCCTGCCCCACCGTCCCCACCGTCCCCACCGTCCCTACCGTCCCTCCCCCACCATCCCCACATGTCCCCTCTCCCCCCTGTGCCCCCCCCCCCCTCCCCCCCCTGCAGGTGTTGGCGCTGGCAGTGGGCAGCAGGGCGTGGTCGCGGGCGACGTTGAGGCGGGAGACGTTCTCCAGCGCGATCCCCAGCAGGGGCAGGTAGAGCGACGCGATCCGCGCCTGCTGGTTCTGGGATGTCAGCAAACCGCAGTCAGCAACCGCAGTGGGCAACCGCAGTCAACCACCATGGCTGTAACTGTGTGCGTGGTGCTGCGGTAAGCGCGCTGCACTGCGACCCCGGTGACCAGAGTTCGATTCCCGTACACGGCCACCACCAACTGAAGTGACAATTATCTGATCCGGTCCTGGGCCTCCCCTAGGCTGACTCAGCCCTAAACGAGTATCTGGTGCGGCGTGTGCGCGTGTAAACACCAGTGCTGGAGAGACAAAGGTGGCCGGGCGTAGTGGTGGCCACCCGCCCCCATCGTGCGCTATTCACGTAGCGGCACTTGCCCCGGCATCCCGTGTGGGGCTACACGGGGGAGCTTTGTCCGCGTACCTTGTGTGCGTAGCGGTCGTCGTGCGCGTGTTTCGCCATCAGCTGCTTGAGTGCGGCGATGGCGGCCGGACGCACGTCGCCGCTCTCCTGCTGCAGCGCGGAGCTCACCTGTCGGCCGCACAGCTCACCTCGTCACCTCGCCCCAACCGCCACGTCGCAACCACCTCGTCGTCCCCGCCTGATCACCCTCACCTCGTCACCTCGCCCCAACCGCCACGTCGCAACCACCTCGTCGTCCCCGCCTGATCACCCTCACCTCGTCACCCACGCTTTGTTAAGCACACCTCATCGCACTCACCCCGCCCGCATTCGAGTCCCAAAGTCAAAGTTGCTTGCCCTGTCCCTACACTCAAAGACGCACACGCGCACATGCGTGTGCCTATGCGCGCGAGCGTGCGAGGGCGTCTGTGTGAGCGCGTGCGTGCATGTGTGCGATGCTGGGAGCTGTAGTGCAAGCTGTAGTGCGAGAGTTAGCTTGCTGAGCTACGAACTCAGTTTACTCTAGTTCGATTCCCACTTACGGCCAACACCAGTGCTGATTATCTGATTGGTTTCTGGTCCTCCTCTAGGTCGACTCGGCCTCAAATGAGTACCTGGTGTGATGTGTAAACATTGCCACTGGGGAGACAAAGGCCACCCAACCCTCTAGTGTGCCATGCCGGCCTTCATAGGTGCTCGCTAATAAAACTTGCCCCTACAGTCTGTTAAGGCTATACGGATGATTGTTGTGTGCGTGTGTGCATGCGTGCATCTCCGCTCACCTCCCGAAGTAAAAGTCCAACCAGGAAGTGATTTTTGCAGAAATCTTCGGTCAAACTGTAATCCAGCTGCAGATCTGAGACACACACAGTGCATCCGTGTACACAAACAACAGCCGACATTCTTCATTGAGTGGCGGTGGCATCACCAGGATGATTGGTGCTAGGCCAGGTAGACTTCAAGGCCACGTGAAGTGCCAAAGGCTCACTGGCAGGAGGTCAGGGGACAGACCCAGGTCCCAGGGGTTGACTGAGATGACTGGCTGATGCACCACCTGTGCCTCCTACTGTGCCAACTTGCTGCATTTTAGTTGCCTGGCGCTCGGCTCGTTGTTGTGAGTGTCACTCCTCTGCCCTCCTTTGGTGCTGGAGAGTGACTGCCTCCAACTGCCCAGTAGCAGCATCCTTCACGAGCCTCCTCCACAGAGGCCGATCTTGACACCGCTGGTACTGGTCATCGGCAAGTCCACTCAGCTCCTCGTCCTCCCGTACCCCATCACTCCATCTCTTCTCTAGCCCGTTCCGCGTCCCACACCAGCCCGCCTCGGCACACTGGTAATCCAATCACTACCGTCCCAGGGGCGCTTATGCCATGACCCACTCTGTGTTCCACAGAGGCATGGCAGCCTCTCCTCCCCAGCCAGTGTTGGGACATTCTACGTGGACAGCCACAGCAACTGCCTTTCACCACACACACCCTTCAAAGACAAAGATACCCCATATAGCCCGAAAAAGGCTGTTGGGGCGATTGCTGTTCGCGAGCACCTATGAAGGCCGGCAAGGTACAATGAGGGGGTGGGTGGCCAACACCATGTCCGATCGACTTTGTCTCCCTAGTGACAATGTTTACGCAGCGCATCAGGTACTCATTTGAGGCCGAGTCGACCTAGGGGAGGCCCAGGACAGGTTCAGATAATCGTCACAAGTGTTGGCCGCAAGCGGGAATCGAACTCGGGTCACCGGGTGCGTAGCGCAGCATGCTAACCGCTACACAACCGCTCCCCTTCACACGCACACAAACATGCACACGCATGTGTGTGTACGTGTGCGGGTTTTTGTGCATGGTGGTGTATGGATCGGGGGTAGATTCACAGCAGATCGAGCAGCAGCACTCCGTATGTCTCCCACGTGCCCGCGAGCCAATCAACAGCTCCGTTCTGACTCCGGCTCCCCCAGCTGGGGGTCCTCCCCCCCTCACCCGAGCGAACCCCAAAGCTGGGCAAGCTGGGACTCCGCGCACCGCCACGCCTCGGAGTTGGGCTCCATCGTCCTTCTCGGGGGTCTCGGTGAAACGACGCTTCCGAGTCGACGAGAATTCATCGTCTCAAGCTCGGCGCTTAATCGTTATATTGAGCGCCAAGATGCTTTACTTAAGTTTAAATAGCGGTGGAAGAATACAGAATGGTTTAGATGGCGTCCACGCGATGAAGATTATCCCACTTTGTTGAGCAATCATTTGTGACGGCCAGGTGGCTCCTGGCGAAAGAGCTCCGCAGCAAAATCTGGTAAGAGGGCCAAACTCCGAGACGCGGCTCCGCGAGTCCCTCTTCCGCAGCGACATCGCGCCCCGAGCATGTGATTCCCCGGCACGGCCGATCGTGCCCGAGACGGCGCTGGCGCCTGTCACTGCCGGCGCCCTCAGCTCCGCCACCACCACCGCCGCCGCCGCCACCGCCGCCCGACCCTCCGGGGCCATACCCACCCGCCACGCTGCCCGTTCGTTACACACCGTGCAAGCCGGATGGTTGGTAAATATGCGTGCTATGTTACACGTGGTGCCGATTCAAAGGAATGCAGAGATCGTGTGTGTGTATACGTGTGTACGTGATGGGGGGAGCGGTGGCACAGCTGTTAGTGCACCGCGCTACGAACCTGGCCATCAAAAGTTAAATTCCAGTTCACGGACAACATCAGTGACGAATATCTGAACAAGTCTTGGGCCATCTCTTAACATCTCGCCATGGTGGCGAGGAGATGTTCACTCCCTCGCCTGTTACGCAAGAGGGCATGGGTTTGATCCTGACCCTCACGCCTGCTGTATGTTTAGAGTTTGCATATTCTCCCTGTGGTTGTGTGGATTTTTCTCCGGGTCCTCCGGTTTTTACCCCCCACATTTAGAAACATGCGTTTAGAGTATTTGACTGCTATAAATGTCCACATGATGTTTGTTGAGCGATTTGTAATAGCCAGGTCGCTTCTAAAAAGGGTTACGTAGCTCAGTAGGCCTTACCTGGTTAAATAAAAATAGTTTAGTTTTGAAATAGTTTTAGTCAGCCTTAAATGAGTACCTGGTGCGGTGTATAAAACATCGCCACTGGGGAGACAAAGGTGGCCAGGCGTGGTGCTGGCCACCCACCCCTTCGTGACCATGCAGGCCGTCATAGATGCTCCTCGCTAACAGCACTTGCCCAAACAGTCTGGTAAAGCTACACGAGGGATCTTTGTCTCTGTGTGTTCAATATGACAAAGGCAACACCGATTCAAATTGAGATGGCTACCTTGTGTGTGCGCGAGAGTGTAAATGAGGAGCGTGTTTACCAATCATCCGGTATGTGCAGCACGTAATAACGACCCGATTTGTATGTGAACGGCGCGACAGATGGCTCTGTGGGGTATGCGGAGGAAGGGACGACCCCCGTCACACACAGCGCACGGGCCGCGTCATCGTTAGCAGCCGATCACAGCAATCACCAGCATCCCCCCACACCTGGGGCACAATCAGGGGGTTAGCAGGGATCCAGGGGATTCGGAAGGGGATCATCGAGGAGGGGGTACCTGGCAGGCTCTCTCGCGTCGGCTCCGTCGGAAAGAGCAAATCTGTTCCACACAAGGACCATAATGGCTGACACACGGTGATAATGGAGACATGCAGACGTGGAGATGCGTGGTACAGAGACACACAGACATGGAGATACGTGGTACAGGGACACGGAGACACGAGACACGGAGACACAGAGATCCGGAGAAATAGGGCACAGAGATAGAGATGCAGAGATACAGGGCACGGAGACACAGAGACACTGAGATAGAGACAGACACAGAGATATAGTGCACAGAGACACGGAGATACAGGGCACAGAGACACAGAGACATGGAGAAATAGGGCACAAAGATACAGAGACACGGAGATACAGGGCACGGAGCTACAGAGACACAGATAAAGAGATACAACGCACGGAGACATGGAAATACAGGGCACGGAGACAGAGATACAGTGCACAGAGCTACAGAGACATGGAGACACAAGAAATACACAGAGACATCGATAGACGTAGCATGTAGACACATAGACATGGAATTACAACAGAGAGAAGAGGCTTACGATGTCCAGACATAGGAACAAAGATATATTGGATGAGGGACACATGGAGACACAGAGACACATGACACACACATGCCACATGGAGACTTTCAGGAATGCGTGTGTGTGTGCCTGTGTGTGCATGTCTGTGTACGCGCGCGAGTCTGTGCGCATGTGCATGTATGTGCCTGTGCATATGTGTATGAGCGTGCGTGGATGTATGTGCGCACGCCTGTGCATGTACGCTTGCCTGTGTGTGCGCGCGTGCCTGTGATTGCGTGCGTGCGTGCGCATGCGTGCGTCACCTTGGTACCGCTGGATGCGACCCCTACTGAAGGACATGGCGAGGTTCAGGGGGATGTAATGCTCGTGGCTGCAAATCTCCTTCAGGAATGCCAACTTGAATTCAAACAGGGTCTACGGACACACAAGGCAAAGATCCCCTGTATGGCATGAACAGACTTTTGAGGCAAGTGCTATGAGCGAGTAACACCTATGAAGGCCGACACGACACATGGGGGGGTTGCGTGGCCAGCACCACGCCCGGCCCCCTTTGTCTCCCTAGAGGTGACGTTCACACACTGCACCAGGTACTCGTTTTAGGCTGCGTCGACCTAGGGGAGTCTCAAGAGCGGTTCGGATAATTGTGACGGGTTGCGAGTTCATAGCGCAGCGCGCGAACCGCTACACTACCGCTCCCCACAGACACACAGATAAAGATCCCCTGTGTAGCCCACACAGGCTGTCAGGGCAAGTGCCGCTAGTGAACTGGCGGTGCAGCCTGCGGGGTGCCTTTGTCTTCCCAAGGTCTCACCTTGGGATCGCCAGGGCCGAAGCTGTGCACGTACGAGTTGATGAGTTTGAAGAGGAAGCCGCGGTCCATGAACGTGAAGCACCTCTACGCACAAAAACACGGGCATACGTAGGTACGTGCGCACACGCAGCGCACACACAGCAAATACACACAGCGTACACACACAGCACACATGCAGAACATACACACCACAGATGCAACAAACACGCAGTATCCACAGCACATTCGCAGCACAGGCGCAGCACACACAGTATACACGCACAACACACATAAAGAACACACACAGCATACACATAGCACCACATACACACACAGCACACGCACAGCACATACACACAACAAACTCACGCAGCGTACACACAGCACACACGCATGCAGGACACACACATGCAGCACATGCAGCACACACACACAGCAAACACACAGCGAGCACACACACACAACATAAGCACAGCATATATGAAGTGCACAGAGTATACACACAGTATACACACAACACACACACACAGCACACACACAGCGAGCACACACACAGCGAGCACACACACCAACTACACACAGCACACGCACAGCGCATACCGTACATGTACACATAGCACATACACGCAGTGGCGTCACTAGGGGGGTGCGTGGGGTGCAGACCGCACCGGGTGACACCATCAGAGGGGGTGACACCACAATGACTGCCTAGAACATGTCTGTGCAGTGTTTCAGCAGAAATTAATTATTTTTAATAAAAATATCCCTGTAGTTATAACAATAAAAGCCTTTTTTTTTCGTAAGCCCAGCTTATATGTACTATATCAATATACCTACAAGACAAAAACTCTATGCTAATTTACTTTTTGAACCTTATAATGCGCTCCGGTCAGGGCAGTCATTGTTACCCAACTCCAGTGACGCTTCCAGTCACGTGGTCTCGTCTGCACGTGCTGCCAGCACGCGCTGTTGTGTTCGTCGCTGCTCGTGTTTTTATAGTCGCTGATTTTGTCAAATTTTCTGGTGTTTTAGCTACAATATTGTGGTAATTAGTATTTGTGAACCTATATCAATACAATTTTTGAGAATCAAGTCGTAATTAAAGGAAAAGGAGAAAAATAAAAAAGGCTTCTGCTCAGTTACTAATAATGTTGTAACAAATAATGTTGTAATTCAATGTAGAAAGATTTTACAAAACTATTTTGTTGTGAGTATTCATATAATCTCAGAAATATGACATTTAAGCAATTTACAAATATATCACATGTTATTCTATGATTAAAATTGATAATAAACTTACATGTAGAACAATTATTGATTATATAACTATTTGATAACTAAATAGAGAAATTGACAATTTAAAACATGAAGTGAGAGGAAATGCTATGTTTCTTGATACATGTTTAGAAATATAATTAAATCTTAAATTAGTCTTTTTTTTTCTTGGAAAACATCACTGTCTTGCGATGTAACGATGTAAAAGTACATTCAGGCTGTACGCATGGTATTGTAATCTAAAGGTGTAACTTTTATTTTGCTAGTTGTTTACGTCACTACTATTGCCATCACATTCAGTGATATACGGGAATTACGATGTACGAGTAACGTTAGTACAAAACACATGACGAGGGATTCTGTGTGGTCCGGTACGGGAGGAGGTCCATGGGGGGTGACACCAACCCTAGTGACGCGAATGCCACAAAGCACACACACGCAGCACACACACGGAGCACACACACGCAGCACACACACGCAGCACACACACGCAGCACACACACGCAGCAAAAACACGCAGCACACACACGTACAGCACACACACGTACAGCACATACACACAGCACACACACGCAGCACACACACGTACAGCACACACACACAGCACACACGCAGCGTACACACACAGCATAAACACACACACAGCACACACACGCAGCACACACACACAGCACACACACGCAGCGCACACACGCAGTGTACACACACAGCACACACACGCAGCGTACACACACAGCATAAACACACACACACACAGCACACACACGCAGCACACACACGCAGCGCCACACGCAGCACACACACACAGCGCACACACACAGCACACACACACACAGCACACACACGCAGCACACACATGTAACAAACACACGCAGCGTACACACACAGCATAAACACACACACACGCAGTACACACACACAGCATAAACACACACACGCACACACACAGCACACACACACAGCAAATACACGCAACAAGCACACGCGGCATACACACACAGCATAAACACACACACACGCAGCACACACACACAGCACACACACGCAGCACATACACACAGCACACACAGAGCACACATGCACAGCAAATACACACAACAAACACAGGCAGCGCACACACACAGCATAAACACACACACACGCAGCACATACACACAACACACACACGCAGCACACACACGCAGCATAAACACACACACACACGTACAGCACATACACACAGCACACACACGCAGCGCACACACGCAGCGCACACACGCAGCGCACACACGCAGCACACTCACGCAGCACACTCACGCAGCACACACACGCAGCACACACACGCAGCACACACACGTACAGCACATACACGCAGCACACACACGCAGCACACACACGTACAGCACACACACACAGCACACACACGCAGCGTACACACACAGCATAAACACACACACAGCACACACACATAACGTACACACACAGCACACACACGCAGCACACACACGCAGCGCTCACACGCAGTGTACACACACAGCATAAACACACACGCAGCGTACACACACACACACAGCACACACACGCAGCACACACACGCAGCGCACACACGCAGCACACACACACAGCGCACACACACAGTACACACACACACAGCACACACACACAGCACACACACGCAGCACACACACGTACAGCACATACACACAACAAACACACGCAGCGTACACACACAGCATAAACACACACACACACGCAGCACACACACACAGCATAAACACACACACGCACACACACACAGCAATTACACACAACAAGCACACGCGGCGTACACACACAGCATAAACACACACACACACAGCACACACACAGCACACACACGCAGCACATACACACAGCACACACACACACGCACACACAGAGCACACATGCACAGCAAATACACACAACAAACACACGCAGCGCACACACACGGCATTAACACACACACACGCAGCACATACACACAACACACACAGGCAGCGCACACACACAGCATAAACACACACACACACGCAGCACATACACACAGCACACACACACACACACGCACACACACAGCACACACAGCATAAACACACACATACACGTACAGCAAACACACAACAAACACACGCAGCATACACACACAGCATAAACACACACACACGCAGCACATACACACAGCACACACAGCACACACGCAGCGCACACACACAGCATAAACACACACACACACAGCACATACATAAGCACACACACGCACAGCCAATACACACAGCACACACGCAGCATAAACACACACACACGCAGCACACACACACCACGCAGCGCACACACACAGCATAAACACACACACACGGCACACACACGCAGCACACACACACAGCACACACACGAGGTGCACACACACAGCATAAACACACACACACGCAGCACACACACGCAGCGCACACACAGCATAAACACACACACACACGTACAGCAAATACACACAACAAACACACACAGCACATACACACAGCATAAACACACACACACGCAGCACATACACACAGCAAACACACGCAGCACACACACAGCATAAACACACACACACACGCAACACATACACACAGCACACACACGCAGCGCACACACAGCATAAACACACACACGCAGCACACACACACAGCACACACGCAGCACACACACACAGCATAAACACACACACACACGCAGCACATACACACAGCACACACACGCAAAGCACACACACAGCATAAACACACACACACGCAGCACACACACACAACACACACACGCAGCACACACACGCAGCACACACACACAGCACACACACGCAGCGCACGCACACAGCATAAACACACACATGCAGCACACACACACAACACACACACGCACAGCAAATACACACAACAAACACACGAAGCGTACACACACAGCATAAACACACACACGCAGCACACACGCAGCACACACGCAGCACACACACGCCGCACACACACGCACAGCACATACACACAGCGTACACACGCAGCATAAACACACACACACGCAGCACACACACACGCAGCGCACACACACAGCACACACACGCAGCGCACACACACAGCACACACACGCAGCACACACACGCACAGCACATACACACAACAAACACACGCAGCGTACACACACAGCATAAACACGCACACGCAGCACACACACACAGCACACACACACAAACACACACAGCATAAACACACACACACGCAGCACATACACACAGCACACACACGCACAGCACATACACACAACAAACACACGCAGCGTACACACACAGCATAAACACACACACACGCAGCACATACACACAGCACACACATGCACATCACATGCACACAACAAACACACGCAGCGTACACACACAGCATAAACACACACACACGCAATATACACACACAGCACACGCAGCACACACACGCAGCACACACGACAAACACACGCAGCATACACACACACGCAGTACACACACACAGCACGCACATGCAGCACACACACAGCATGCACACAGCACATATACACAGCATACACACAGCACACACAGCACACGCACACAAAACATACACGCAGCACACACACACACACACAGCACACACAGCACACGCACATAAAACACACACGCAGCACACACACACACAGCACACGGTGACCTTGATGAAGGCGGCGAGGCTGTGGTTGGCGCGCCGCGTCTCGCTCGCGAACTCGCGGTGCTTGATGACGATGTTTTCCGTCGCCGCCACCACCAGCTCCTCCACCGCCGTGTGGAACGACGCCGGCAACCGCTGCGTCCGGTTCAGCTGCACCACCATAACCGCACACATTACCGCAACCATCGCAACCACAACCCTGACCACCTCAATCACAACCGCGACCACCACAATGAAAACCGCAACCACCACAATCACAACCACCGAGATCACCGCAATCACAACCACCGCAATCACAACCGCAAAAAACGCAATCACAAGCAAAAATACCGCAACCACCACAATCACAACCGTAACTTCCACAAACACAAACGCAACCACCGCAATCGCAACCATAACCACCGCAATCGCAACCATAACCACCACAATCACAAATGCAACCACGGTGCGGGGTCAGACTGTGTAAGAAGTTGCAGGAACAAGGTTCAGAGTTCACGGCCGGGCTCAGGAGGTCACCACCTTGATCCTCCCGGAGTCCACGAGGTTTTGAGCCATGGACTTGATGAGGATCTCAAAGAAGAACCATGAGAACTGGAGAAGAGGAGAAGAGACGGAGACACCTCATCAACATCACCTCCTCCTAACCATCGTCACGCACGGTCACTCCCACGTACATGACGCCGACACGCAGCCAACCATTCACCACTCGGTGGTGGTGACATTGCGATGGTGCCTGTGCCAGGCTAGGTGCACTCTTGAGGCCAGATCAAGTGTCAAAGGCTCGTTGCTGACGGGAGGGCACGGGACAGATCCAGTGTCCGGGGGTGAGGGTGAGCAGCTTGCTGTACTGCCTCTCACCCTGGGACTGGGTGAGTGTGTGGGGTGAGGGTGAGCAGCTTGCTGGTCTGCCTCTCACCCTGGGACTGGGTGAGTGTGTGGGGTGAGGGTGAGCAGCTTGCTGTACTGCCTCTCACCCTGGGACTGGGTGAGCGTGTGGGATGAGGGTGAGCAGCTTGCTGGTCTGCCTCTCACCCTGGGACTGGGTGAGCGTGTGGGGTGAGGGTGAGCAGCTTGCTGTACTGCCTCTCACCCTGGGACTGGGTGAGCGTGTGGGGTGAGGGTGAGCAGCTTGCTGTACTGCCACTCACCCTGGGACTGGGTGAGTGTGTGGGGTGAGGGTGAGCAGCTTGCTGTACTGCCTCTCACCCTGGGACTGGGTGAGTGTGTGGGGTGAGGGTGAGCAGCTTGCTGTACTGCCACTCACCCTGGGACTGGGTGAGTGTGTGGGGTGAGGGTGAGCAGCTTGCTGTACTGCCTCTCACCCTGGGACTGGGTGAGTGTGTGGGGTGAGGGTGAGCAGCTTGCTGGTCTGCCCACTCACCCTGGGACTGGGTGAGTGTGTGGGGTGAGGGTGAGCAGCTTGCTGTACTGCCTCTCACCCTGGGACTGGGTGAGTGTGTGGGGTGAGGGTGAGCAGCTTGCTGTACTGCCTCTCACCTTGAGGAGTTTGTTGCAGGTGAGGAAGTCGGTGCTGGGCTTGAGGAGGAAGCCGAGCGACTTGGCGAGTTCCTCGTGCAGGGTGAGGCCCTCGCAGGCCTCCGCAGACTCCTCTGTCTTGAACACAAACT